AAACGATAGAGAAACCGCTAATGTATCAAACAAACAGGATCAAAAAGAAACTTCTTCTTCGGAAAGTGGAGTAATATTTTTTCTAAGAAAAATAGTGTCTTAAAAAGAATAAATTTGCAAAAATGTCCTCTTTGGTCATTTTCCTCCGCCATGTGTACCTTTTAATGGTAGCATCCGTGAGAATGCCCCACTTAATTGAGATGTAGTTTCCCTAATCGGGTAAACCCTTGTCGTTATGACACTTGAAAGGGAACGTGATGTCACGGCCCCTAATCTCCGCATTCTTACCACACAATCGCATTATAAAAACCTATAGTACACATCATTGACATGCTCTTGTGGCTCCTGCCTCTGTGTAATGGATGAATGAAGAACGGACCCCGTTGTTAACTCTCATCAATACATCGAAAAGCGCACATAAAAATTCGTCGAGATAAATTAAGTTGGCGATACGATCGGCGAAAAAGTGCTGGCATACCTACCATAAACATTTAATTTAATTTCATGATCTTGACTTTTCAGAAATTTTATTGCCCAATATAGTAAGCGGAAAGCTCCATAAAAATAATAAAGCACACCTTTTATTTCCATTTAAACGTAAATTAACATAACGAATCCATTTCGTGGCCAGTTTCTTCAACCCTTCTCGCATTTAATTAAAACCGATTTTGTCATAGTGTCACACGTGTAACGTTTCTTCTTTTGATTCTCTCCTTCCGCAAACACACATATCGCATTGCGACCCTTTCAGGTACCAAAAACTGGACAAACAGGAAGAAATATCAAAATCACAACATCGTTGACCCTTATCAAAAAATCCGATCGAAATTTCACACAAAAGAAAGGGTTCACACCTTTTCTTATCAGATCCAAAATAAATCATTCTCGAGAATGCTAAAGGTGTTTTTCAACTTGGATGCAAATAAATATAAACAGAAGCTATCATTTTAACGAATATTTCGAGAATTCCCATCGCCGAGTGGCTACAACACAAATCATCGACTTTTTTTCCGGTCGTTGGCAAATTCACGGTCCTTGAACAATAAGAACATAATTCAGGAGGATTCTGGACAATTTTCGGGAGATAAACGACCGGCTAACTAGAGCATTGTGTTCAGAGTTATTGTTATTGACTTCCGCGGATTCTTGGGATGGGGCGGGAGGCACCCTGATGATGGGGTCCTCGTTTAACAATATTTTTTCCAAAGTTGTCTCTGAGAATTGCCTGTCTTTCGGCACGTTTCGAGGAATGCAAACAGAATGTTTAAATGGTGCAAGACACAAATTTATTTCAAATTACTTCGTCTTTCAGCGTTTACACAATTTTTGCATTAATACAGAGTGAGTTAACTGAATTTTATTATATTGACATATTTTACATCATTTACACGTGTTTTTACTTACAAAATGTATACATTATCGTTAATCAGGTAGCAGTTGTGATTAATATTCATTAGAATATTAATTTATTATAATTACATAAAATAAAAATGTGTCGCTAAAACAAGATTAATGGTAATTGAAATACAGTTCTTCTGATCAGTAAAACCGTGGATTATTTATTAGTATTTCTATCAGATTATTTTAATTTATATTCTCGCCAAGATTTGTTTAATTTTTTATATTTTTCACATACCTAAGTAAATAAAAGGATTATACTAGTAGGTACAAACTAGAAGTTGTCGACGGTTTTATAGAATCTCCCATATTTTTGCATAATATATCTGCAATTTTCGTGATAACTGTCGCAAGACAATAATAATCTAAGTGAAAATATCTTTTTGAAAAATTGACTGTTTGAAATTTGCAAATAGCGATTTCAACGAAACTATTGGAGCATTGTAAAGTATCACCATGATTTGATGCGATTTGGAAAAATCGAAATATAGTCTTATTTTTTCATGAATTACTTTTATTGAAAGAGGGTACTGGAAAAAGTTATGAAAAATATGTAAATAATTTTGCACTAAATGCAATAAAAGCAAGACAAAAAATTAGGTGCAACAAAATAGAATTTTGAGAAAGTGTTTCTTTTTCTAAAATCTTATACAGGTTGCGCCAGAACTCGCGCCCCAGAGAAAAATGCCATATAAGGTATCATAGAAAAAATGTTACAAAAATTTTATCTATGAAAATTTCGAAGTTATGAGGGTTTAAATTTTGCACTTTGACTCTATTTATTTCTCTTGGAAAAATAGTTTTCCAAGTTTTTTTGCTACAGGCTATTAAAAGATGAAACAAAGAAGCTCTATCCTAAATTGTAACTCTGTTCAATTTTATTTGTGGCTTTTATTGGCAAAATTTTTGTACCTTTACTAAATAATTGTAAAAAAAACTTATACAAGATCATCAGTATCATCAAATAGGTATAAAAAATGTCAAATGTTTAAAAATAAATGTAAAAACTTTGACAGAATTTTTTAAACATTTTTTCCATGTTCCTGGGAACTCACACCCCAGAGAAAAATGCCATATAAGGTAAGATACCAGGAACATAGAAAAATGTTAAAAAAATTTTATCTATAAAAATTTCGAAGTTTAAGTTTAAATTTTGCATTTTGACTCTATTTCTGTTGGAAAAATAATTTTCCAAGTGTTTTTGCTACAGGCCTTTAGAAGAGGAAGCTATATCCTAAATTGTAACTCTGTATAATCTTATCTGTAGCTTTTATTGGCAAAATCTTTGCACTTTTATTAAATAATCGTAAAAAAATTTATACAAGATCATCAGTATCATTAAATATCTAAACATAAAAAAATGTCAAATGTCAAAAAATAAATGTCAAAATTTTTTGACAGATAGAATTTTTAAACATATTTTTCATGTTCCTGGTATCTTTCTTACTTCAAATTTTTCTCTGGGGCGCGAGTTCTGGCGCACCCTGTATACCTAAAATACCTAGTTGTTCAATAATACCTAATTATTTCATCCACCTTCCTTCAGATTTTTTTTTAATTTTTTTGGTTCTTAGTTTTTCTACGAAATGTTTATCTTAAGCTTTGAATATTCATTTTGTTTTCAAGACTGAAAAAAAGTTATGTTTTAAATACCTACTACCTATAAGTAAAATTTACTATTGCAAAACAGACTACAGACCACATTTTGAAAAATATGGTGTAAAATTAACATCAATTCAAACAACGAATGTTTTTTCTCATTGCAAGCACTTCATTAAAACGGAGTCCCGATTATCCGGCTCCCGATTATTAGAAAGTCCGTGCTAACCGAAAACAAAATCGCTTTTAAAAATTCCGTTTTATGCTGAAGAATTTGGTTCCATACTCTGTTGAATCCGGAATTGGTCTTATTTCTTTTGTTGAAATTCTCAAAAGCGAAAAAATCCATTTTTTTCTTTGTGCTTGGACGTAGAAGACATATCATTGAAGAGTATAAACATCGATAAATTGAATAATAAAAGTCAAAAAGTGGTTGTTTCTTTAGAAAAAACCAATTTGATGGACAAAAGTGTTAATATGAAAAATGTTAATATGAAAATTATGATTTCTTTAATAAAACGTTGCATTAAAATTTTTGGGATTATCGAGAATTTTGGCTTATCCAGAAAGGGTGCAGTCCACATTAAATAAAAAATACATAAGAAAATTAATACACTGCGGACACGGAATTTTGGACGATTTGTCATTCGACTGACATAAAAATGTAAAACAGACCTTAGGCAACTAACCTCACTTTCAGTTTTTGTAATTTGTATTTTGATAGCTAGAGAAAAAAATGACAATAACTCAAAATAGTTTATTAAACTTCATAAAAACACGTATTGCTGGCATTATTGTTTCGGAAATCGACGCCAAAAACAAATTTCAATTAATTCAAACTTTCAAATTTTAGTTTCAAACGTCAATCATAATGACATTAAAGCGTGGCTTACATTGATATTTTTTAATCTAACATAAATTTGATGTCCAAAATTCCGTGTCCGCCACTGTACATTCTGAATATATAAAAGTCCATCTCCCAGATTTAACGTAGATATTTTCGTAGATTTATAATTCAATTTTATTAGATTTTTTATTTTTTTACTTTAATTTTAAAATACCTTCTTTGGTATTAATTAAAACCACTTCAAATAAATGTAACTAAATTACCATTCCAAAGTTTATTTTTACGGTTAAACCAAAATATTGCTTAATTGCGTTTGTAGTATTCGTAAATGCAAAATCCATTACGTTGTTATTGTTTATAAGCAACCAACATATATCTAGGTATTTTATCCCGTCTATAAACATGTTGTGAAGCCTTCCTTCCATCGCAACAAATTCCACTCCACTTCGTCATAAAAACAAATCGTTGCACTTACAATTTTTTAAAGCAAAACTGTCTAAAATTGCGAATTTAAGATTACTTAACTGTTTTAATTTTCTTAAATTTTAAGATTTAATCTCATTCAAATCTGAAACAACTTTTCTTTTGTTTATTCACGATAAGCTCATTCACACCGACATTTAATATTTTTCCAGCAAGCATAATCACTGCAAACTATTCTTTTGCATTCACCGCTTCAGTCATAAACATGAAATTCCTCTTTCGAGCACCAATTACTCAGTCATTATTAATCTTACGAAGCTTTTGTCCGAGCGAACAAGAGGTCAGATTAAATTATAACTTTTTCGAAACTATATCCGTTTTTGAAAGATTTACGATGAAATTATTAATTCCCGCATTCATGCCACCAGTTTACGACTCAAGGAAGCAATTAAATAAAGCCACATCAAAACCCTTCAAGAATAAAAATAATACAAGAGTCAAAATTCCGCCTCATTTCCGCTTCCACCTTACCCGAAGATCACAAGTAACAAAACAAATTAGCACCTCTGGGTATCACCCGGCATGAGCACTCCAATTCAAAATCAACTCTCCCATTGGTCGATCCTTACAAACTCCACCCATTTACACTTGGATACCTCCATCAAGGCCCGCCTCTCGAGCTTTCAAATATAGAAAACAGATTCGACTTCGACAGTTGGCTTGAGATCGTCGGAAAGCTCGTTTGTGTTAACGTTCTTTGACTTTTTATGGATTTTGGTCGTGTTCTAACGCACATTCCATACATTTTAATCGCGTTCATTTTGTTAATTGCGTCAACGGTTAAATTTAGATGTTTGTGATGAGTTTTTGGTGATGTGATTGTGGTGTGTTTTATAGAAACTTCCGGATTATACGCATTTAGGTAATTGATCGGGAGCGTAGGGCAGGTGCCAAGAGTTGGAAATCGATTAAAAAGCTTCATTTCTATAATATGAAATCAAAAACTTATTTTGCATTTACCGTCGCTTCAGACTTGAAAAAAACCCAAATAAGTTGACAAAGTACTTGAGCTTTGACCTTTAACAGGTCATATTTGCCACAATGTCATAAAACAAAACAATTGTGATTCCTTTACAGATGGTTTACAGTCATAAAACTGTCAATTGTGGTTTATACATTGCTGTAAGCCTTCTCCAGACCACTTTGATGTAATTATGCTAATGGTGTGATTGTTATCACAAGAATATTTTGCAGAAATTGGGTACTTACCCCAAATTAATCATTAATGTCTTCATTCTGATTCCTGTAAAAAAGCAATCGGGTTAAAATAACGGTACAAGAAAACTTGCTAAACACTTTTTGTGTTGTTTCACTTATTGTTCGTAAATGAAGATGCAAATAGTAACAAAGTTAAAAATATTCCATTTGTTTGAGAATAATTCTCTGTGGACACATCCATTTACTACCCAAACGAACAGATTCGCTCGCTACTGTTTGCTTTCCACCGCTTTTTTATTTGTTTAGTTTTCAAAAACCTTTTTCCAAGTTGGAAGGTACGATTTATAAAATTTGAAATTGACATAGAAATAATAGGCCACAATGCTGACGACATCTGAACAACAGTTTTGGATTGTTTCCAAGGAAAATCGCCGCTATTGATGTATGCTTCCACTCAGAAATAGAAATTGTGCGTAAAAGCGCCAACAAAACGAGAAAATATACAATGAATTATAAAATACTTGAAACAGGGTGGCTCAGCGAAAACTGTCTTTGTTGCTGACGTACAAAAATACAAAACAATACAGTACTTTAATTCATTTACCTACTATTAAATTCGGTTTTATTTGCATGTTTTCTTTTTAATCTTTTATCAAAAACACAAAACTTTTTGGTTTCGTTTGTAAATATGAATATTTTTGTAACAAAAACGCTTCTAAAAGTCAATTGTTAGTGCAAAAATGGTCTAATTTTTTAATTGGATAAAATTAATTTCATTTTTCTTTCAGAATATGTATAGGTACAGGGTGCGCCAGAACTCGCCCCATGTAAGGTAAGATACCAGGAACATGGAAAAATGTTTAAAAAAATTATATATAAAATTTCGAAGTTATGAGAGTTTAAGTTTTGCATTTTTACTCTATTTATCTTTTGGAAAAATGATTTTCAAAGTTTTTTTGCTGCAGGCTATTAGAAGAGGAAACAAGGAAGCTGTATCCTAAACTATAACTTTGTTTAATGGTATTTGTGGCTTTTATTGGCAAAATTTTTGTACCTTTACTAAATGATTATAAAAAAAATATTTTTTCCATGTTTCTGGTATCATCTTACTTGAAAATTATCTCTGGGGCGTGAGTTCTAACACACCCTGTATGCTGTATGTGCTCACAATTAAATTTCTGATCAAAATGGTCCGCGACTTTAAAATTAAATTGGCAACATTGAAGAATATCTTGTTTCCATGTTATTCAGTCTTGCAAACTTAATTTGAGAATCAGTGTTTGTTTTGATGAGAAATTTAAGACATTCGATTATTAAATTTTTTGTCATCAACAACAAAGACATTATAACCGAGTAAATATTATTTGGGTCACCCTGTATAGGTACGCAATATATAAAATAAAAAAATACACTTCTAAAACTTTGTCTAGTTAATTTTTTTTTTAATTCTGAAGCATGTATACTGTTTAATGTTATTTTTTATGTAATTCAATAAAATTAAAATAGTGTCCAGAAATCAAAGATTTATTTATAAAAAACAACGAAAATAATCTTACATAGCAATAATAAAATTTGTTACATCAAACCATCTATTTTTTTCTTTGGGCCACTAAGAATAGACCACCAAGTGTAAAAAATGCTTCAACACCACATTTTCATTCACAAAATTAATTAGTCGAGCTTCTGGTTACCACGTGTTACACCATTCCTTCATGTTCTTCTATCTTAAATTAGTTTTTTCTCCACAAACATAAATATGGTAAATAAGATCCGGAAGTACGGAAACGCACAAGATAATTATCAAAATTCGAATTAATTTAAACTCCATTTTCTATTCAGAGTTTAGTTACTTAGAAGATAAGAGAAGTGTCTTTTACAGATTTTATTGTGAAAAATAGCTTTTTGTAAGAATTTATTGTTATATAGTCCAGATATATCTTAATTGAAAAAAATTGTAAATTACATTTTGACAAAGAAATTTTAGCCCTACTATTTTTAAAACTAATCATTTTTGGTTGAGAATTTTGTTTATTTTGTTAGAAGAGAAAATTGCTTCTGATTTTCTAACCGCCGAAATCAGTAAGAATTTGGACCTCTTTCCTCCTGTCATGATAATTTACGAGGTGCAAATCATCACCCACTCTAAACCCCAAATTCTTTTCCAGCTCGGAGCCCAAACACGTGCCGCTCTTTCACCATCGCCGAACGAAAAAACCTCAAGACATTTTTATCAATGAGTCTCATCATCGGCGACATCTGAACCCGACGATGACCGTAAAATAGTTCTTTTCTGCTTCAAGTTTGCTCCTCCAGAACGAGAGAGAGCGCGATGCTGTCGGCGGGGCTTGGGTACGGTGTCTCTGGTCCCGTGACGGGCACCACGCCCCCCTATAGCCCGCCACCCCCCGCTAGACACAGCCCCTTACCGAGTTTCGGATTCACCCAGGAGCAAGTCGCGTGCGTGTGCGAAGTAAGTGGATTTGTTGTGGATAACGAGGGGATTAAAGACAAGGATGGAGAGGATGGCGAAAATTGGGGGTTGACGGGGAAATGATAGGTTTTGAGGCCGGTGGTTAGCTAATTGACTTGTTATTATGGACAAAGCTACGTAAAATTTCACAATTTTGAATCTATTTATGAAACATTCCGGTTAAGATGCAACAAAATCAACCACTCCTATACTTTCACCAAAAACTCGGCAATTTTTTAGCTAATTACGTTTTGAAACCATTTTAAAGAAACCAATAGCTTTCTCTGCCAAATCGAGTGTAGGTATGGCATTTAGCAAATCTAGCAAATATAACTATTATTCAAATTTTCAGTTTTCTCCTAAACAACGATAGTTTTAATTTTTTGTCAAACTTGTTGGTGAATGATTTAAGACAGGTTGACTAATTGAATTATTACGAGACCAGATGTGTAATTTTTTGAAAGCCATTCATTAAAGCCTAGAAGTCATTAAAGTCACTCATAGAAATCCTGATTTATGGCCGGTCATTTCTTACACAATCGACCAAAAACAAATTCGTTTTTGTTAGTTTGCCAACAGGATGTAGGTGTCTGAAGGAAACAGCCTTTGCCCCCAATTACACGGAAAAAAACCTTGATTACAAAGAAATAAACTTTGAGGAATGTGATAAGAAAATGATTCACATCAAAAGTGCATTTTTGATAACAAGAATAATTCCTCTTGCATATTTTTTCTCAAATGGAGCCATAACTTAGATAAAATACACCCACTGTCTGGTTGCGCAATTAATCATTCCCAGAGGATAATTCCTCATGTCCCATGATAACAAACCCATGACCCCTAATTGAGCCAAACCGAGAATTCTGCACGAATTTGTGTCTGGAGACACAACAACCTCCGGCTACTCGAGATCTTGTATACCACGGAATCAGCACACTTGACACCCACTCGTGCACATACACCATTCATCATCGTGTTTCTCTCTTCTAGGTATTACAACAGGCCGGTAACGTCGAACGCTTAGGTAGATTCTTATGGTCGTTACCGGCTTGCGACAAACTCCACAACAACGAATCCGTACTAAAGGCCAAAGCCATAGTGGCCTTCCATCGAGGCAACTTCAAGGAACTTTACAAAATATTGGAAAGTCATCAGTTTAGTCCGCACAATCATGCCAAACTGCAAGCATTGTGGCTCAAAGCGCACTACATCGAGGCAGAAAGGCTCAGAGGTAAGAAGATAAAAATCATTCCAAATAAAACTAAACAGAAAGAAAAATCTTATCTTTTTTCCGTTGAAATTGGAATCTAAGCAAAAAAGGTAGAAAGTACCTAAAAGTGCTGTTTTGATACTGGTTTTATTCAATAATAATCTAGCTTCTGAATTAATTACACTGAGGAATATCCAAAAATAAAAAAACTTTTATTCACAATCATAAAATAATAATAATCAAATTACCTGCATGTGAAAAGTTGTAGAGATGACATTTAAACTTCATTTAACAATTGATATGAAAAATGACAGTTTAGGTTGGGATATGGTCACTTTCTTATCAATTTTCGGGTTCGGGTAACCATTTCCTGACCTAGGTTTTTTAAATTTTCTGTTGCTCGTTCAGCAACTTCTTTGAGTTCATTCCATTTTACTATCACTATTATTAATATCAGACATAAACATAAATGACGCGACTTTATTTTAACAAAAGTTTATTTTTTATTGTCTTCTTAATAAAAACGTAAAATGCAATTTCTAAATTTGATAAATATTAGCTTTCTGTTCTTTAAAGTATGATTGTATTGTAAATAAAATAGTATACAACAAGCCGGTAGTTGCTTCTTCGTATCTCGGCTTATTGCCTTGGCAATGAAGTACCTTTTGTCTCGGTATGTAATCTACTACTGCTACATTTTCTTAAAGTATTGCGTTTTTACCAAATTTACTACCAAATTTTTACTAAATGTGGGGCCAAAATCTTACCCGAAAGGACAAAGAAATAAAATAAATGTTGAAAATTTTAGAAAAATGACTTCTTTTTTAATAAAAATTCAACTGTCACAATCAATAACAACATAGCCAACTAGAGTGTTGTTGAACGAGCCTCTTGAAGACGACCGGTAACATAATGTAGTAAAATTAACTTTCGTTATTCAGAAGGAAATTATATTAAGATATCAAAAAAAATCTAAAACATTACAACATTTCTGGCTTATTCTCCATTTGTCCTTGAAATATATTTGCTAAATTTCATCGAAGATGATATACAGGACAAAGGATGAATAAAACCATTACATTCGTCGCAACGTTTCGATACCTTTATTGTATCTTCCTCAGGCGAAGAATTTTCGTTGGCTGAACATGGGAGGCAAGGCAGTTTGGCAGTTCTTCCTTCTTCGACGAAATTTAGCAAATTTCGGGCTTAACAGTGAAATCGATGAATAACAAAATTGGCAAGAATTTTGTTGGTACTTTTGTATACTTTATGGTCTATTATTGACTCATGGCGAGTATCAGTCTTAATATTGACTTAAAAAAATGCCAATTTTTGCTGATTTGAAAACATTTTTTTCCAAAATTTACTGTGTGTGGTACTTTTGTTTTGACTTTTTTGCACATAAAGAGAAAATTAAAGTACTTCTCGACTTTTTTTGATGATACTACATATAAATTCCTTTTTCATTGTTTTGGTCTTTTGAGATTAAAAAACATAAGAATATTTTTTCTAGTTTATTTAGTTTAATTAATTGATCTTGAAATTTAAATCAGAAATGTTGAAACTTGAAATGATTCATAAAATGATTGATACAAAACAAAGTACCGAGTTTAAGCAAAGAATTATTAATAATTAAGACTGCAAAAATTGTTAAACATTTTCTTATAAAATATTGCATTTCTTCAAGGCTTCATAATATAAAAGCCACAAACTTTAATTGAGTACATGGTAAATCATGTTGTCACTCAGAAGTACCCCAAAATGATAAATGAAATTACAGAATATTATCGAAGTTTGGCATCTTACCAAATTAAAAAAAATACTATCCAACTTATTTTCTAATTCTGACCTACCAAAATTTGCATGAATTTTGAATACTTTTGTGGTAAAAAGGGAAAATAATTTTACTGTCCTGTCCTGGTGTTTGTACCAAAATTAAAAATTAAACCTTACTTTTTCGTAAAAAAGATATGAATTTTTCATTTTCTTATTAGTTGTAATGAATTATTAAATTAACAAAACTTTCTAACTCGAGATTAATGTTGGGGTAAAATGAAGTTTTTATTATAAAAATTTCTCTGGTGAGATAATTATAAGAAATGTAACAAAGCAAATTTTAACACGATGACTTTGCTTTATTCATGACATAACATGTTTGGGTTTAGTTTAATTTTAATGTCATGTTATTAAAATATAATAGTCAATATCGGATTTAATGTTTGCTGGTTATTTCCGCTGGTCATTTCCAATGTTTTGAGTGCACAAAGAGCCACTTTTCAACCCCCCCATCTGCAGGCAGACCCTTGGGCGCCGTTGGCAAATACCGAGTGAGGCGAAAATTCCCTCTACCTCGAACCATCTGGGACGGCGAAGAAACAAGTTACTGTTTCAAAGAGAAATCCCGTAGTGTTCTTCGCGATTGGTATTCGCACAATCCCTATCCTAGTCCTCGCGAAAAAAGGGAATTGGCGGACGCCACCGGCCTAACGACAACTCAAGTCTCCAATTGGTTCAAAAATCGAAGACAGAGGGATAGGGCAGCCGAACATAAAGACAGGTAAAAACCGATCAATAAGTAATTGACTTAATCAGTATTGAAAAGGCAGCCTTAGTCGAGGAGATCGTGTTACGTGCGGAAGCCGTAGAGCTCATTTGTTTATACAGTGGCGAAATAGCAGAGATGGGATCGGTTACTGGATTCCTGGCTTTCCCGACAGTTTTTACTGTTTTTTTTTCTGAATATGAAATTGATAAAATCGGTTTCGGTTTTGTGGTCTTTCGACGTAACTTTGTTACATATTGCGTCTTGGAGTGTCATATGTCGGCTCGTGTGACTCATGTGCTAATTTTAGCATCCCCGTCGGCCTGAAACCGAATAGTAACAACGTTTTGTTTCAAATCTTTAACCCAATTCTCCCCGGAGACACTCTATCGCATCATAACATACAGAAAAAGCCACTTCTGAACGTTATTAAGCGACATGTGTTGCTGTTTATTTGATTATTTTCTGCGTTTGGTCATGTGTGATTCCATTCGGGAGAGGTACCACGGATCGTATGTGTGGTTCAAGTTCGAAAATAGCACACTGCTAGGCTATTCTCAGTTTCCAGGTCCAGCTCTGCGAGTCATCCGATACCCGAACACTAGCAAACACTAGAAATAGAAATATACACGCCACTTCAAGGCATTTTCTTAGCGTCAGCACTGACTATTACACTTATTTATCTATTCTGGAAAGGGAAAAACGGTGGAGAAGAACATTTCAAAAATTTTATCATTCTGTTGCTTCAGCAGGAATTTTCACTTTGACAGAATTCTGAATGATTTCGACCTTCGTGACCATTCGTGTCACTTAAAGCCTTTTATTTCGGCTTTTTGATGGCACCTGTTTCGCGTTTCTGACGTAAACATCCAACTCGAGTCAAATAAAAATATCTCGACAAATTCCCGTCCTCCAAACTTACTTTCTCGGAATAATAAACTCTACCACCCATGCAGAGCCATTCTGACGTCACTTATTGTTCCAAATTCGGTTGGAAAAATCGAATTAATAACATCCAACTCACTCTCACAATCCCTCAACCTCCCTTTGGATGCCCCCGTATCGGATTACACAAAAACAACAATGTCTGTTCAAACATCCTCTTCCACCCCTCAATTAAACCCCCTTTTTCGGTAAGAATTTTTAGGCAAATCGATGGCTAAATAAACACCAAGCTTTCTACAAGTGTCGCACACGTGTTTACCGAATTCCTCTTTCCGTCGCGCAAAAACGCCCTCTCCAGAGGCTATCTTGTGTGGGCACCGTTACCGGATATCGGGTTACCCGCAGGTGAAACCCGATATCCTTCAATGTAGTTAGAGGGCCTCCTCTAGGTGGTCGGAAATTTCAATTTTGTGATTATTTCAGCGGCCAGTCCAACTCCGACAAGCCCCATCTCGATTCGAGCGGATCAGACAGCGAATCCGAGCACAAACTTTCAACGTACACCCCCTCGGGGGCCGTTGGACCCCCACAACTTGCACCTTACGGTGGACTGGGGGCGCCATCCATCGGACAGCCCCTCTACCAGGCCCCGGGAGGCATCCTGCACGACTACCAGGCCTTGTGACAGTGGTTAGCCACGCCGCAAGATGCCGCCAGTAATTTGTGAATCGGTGATAACGGGGAAGCCCCCAATTGACCTTTGTTACTATTGTACTTATCGAAATTGTATTTTTGTTTAAAGTTTTAATGTACATAGAAATTTATTCCTTATTGTAGGATAAGTGTATGTATTAGGTAGTCCATCACTGCCTTTCTTTCGCCATCTCCGAGCAATAATTTTGTTTGTGGACTGTATGCTTAGGGTTTTTTTGCTGTGACTGTACTTATTCACCAGATTTTCGGTCAAATGTAAACTCAGCGTTCAATCATTTGTGGCACAAAGCAATAAAACTATAGCTTGATATTCACCCGAAAGGGCTGGTTTATTATATTTACGAAAACTACTGGTTTTTATTTCAAAAAAAATACAACTGGCAACGCCGGAAATGTTGTCAGCGTTGTGAGTTTCGTGCTAACTTTTTTGAAATAAAAATTAATTTTATGTTACTCATACCTTCACCATACGTACTTATATAAATGGTAAAAAGCACGATATTTTGTTTACCTATGTCCGAATAATATTTCTGTTGTAATTGAAAATAAATTTGAATAATTACCTTTGCTGGAGTCTTAATTTTGACACTTTTTTTTGGAATTTTTACTACACATATAATTTGACGTTTTTTGAACGTTTTGAGATGGTTCTAGATTGTATACTATTTTTTCGGGACCTTCATCAGAAAATATGGTTTTCTACCCTCTAAATAGTCCAAGGGAAGAAAATACATACCAGGTGAATAAAAAGTATGGAACCAAAGGTTTTTTTCTTAAACTATTTATTTTTTGAAAAAACTAATTAATGAGTGATAAAGTACTATAAAAATGTGATTGATTTAATTTTAATTTGTTTTTGAGTTCTACAAAAAAAAATATTTTTTTTAAATGGCAACCCACTACAAAATCATTTTTCTCATAAAAGCTATACTCTAAGGATTACAACTATCTGCTTTATATTTAATTTCATAAATTGCAATTTCGACAAAAAAAATCGTGTAACTCAAAAACAAAACAAAATTTCTTTCTGAAAATACGGTCACATTTGTTATATTACTCTAATTTATATTAATTATTATTTTCTGGAGACAAATGATCAAAAATAAAACCGCTTGGTTCCATACTTTATATTCACCCTGTATTTTTCTCCCGATGAAGATAAAATACATACCTTCACAAAGTGATAACGTATTTCAAAAAGTGATTAGTTTCTTCGAAGATGTCTTGAGGGATGTGATTTTTGGGTTCACTATCTGAATCACTCATTTTGATTGTATTTTTAACTATTTGCCGCTCAAAAGTGAAATTGAAAAAACAAATGTAATTTTTTTACATATACTAAAATCAATCATTTTTAATTTGAGCCCTGATTTATTTGAATTTTTTATTTGTTCCTGTTTAAATAATAAAATATCGGTTCTTCTGTCAAAGTTAATGCATTGACATAGTTGCTATGCAAATAAATTGAGTTTTTGACATTGGATGGTTATAAATTACTTCCCGACCACGAGTATTACTGTACTGATTATGAATAAATAAGTATTTTAAGTGATAACGTCGAAAATCGTGTTTTTAATTTTACGGTAAAAAGATACATTTTCCAAAATACAAATCTCTCGTTTATTTTATGCGTTATTTAGGCACCTAATGACCTTAAATGTGAGTTTGTATAATCTTTTTTCAGTTATTTTACCAATTCTTTATTTTTTTGGTTTGAAAATTGCAATAAAGGTACCTTTCCTCTTGAAACTTTTTTCACACCATTTTACTCACTTTTATTTAAAATATATTTACAAACAATGAAATGAAAAACACACTCTAGATTTACTAAAACGTTAGTTTTTCATATTTTTTTTATTAAAATTGGAGAAATCAAATGATATTTAAAACTGGGAGCGCCCTCTGATGGATGGCGTCGGATGGCTCACTAGATAAATGTGTATTATTTGAAAAATATTTTTATAAATTGATTAAAAGAATAATAATAGCTTCATCAACATATGACACATTCATAGTTTTAAAAAATCCATCACGAATTTTTTGTTATCGTTTTATTCTTCTAAAGTGAATAAAATTTAGTAAATTTGCTTGTGTAGGTTGGCAGAGCTGAGTCATTGACATTGACATATGCGATGACAGTTCGTTTATTAAACTAATGTCAAATTGTGTATTATTTTCATGTCCCAATAACAATAAATCAAAGGGATGAGTTACACGGAAAAGCACGACATGATGTCAAGGGACGAGTGGATGGCCCTTCTTGAGGAGAACGAGATCGGTCGAGGCCAGATGAACAAACTCATCATGAATTATCTGGTGACAGGTATGGTGGCCGTTTCAGTATCAAAAACCCCAATTCCCGGTTCTAGAAGGATTCAAGGAAGCCGCCGAGAAGTTCCAACAGGAGTCGGGCGTCGTCCCAGCTGTAGATTTGCATTCTTTGGACGATAGAATCAGTATTAGGGACGCTATAATGAACGGCAAGATCCAAGAAGCGACGGCTCTAATCAACCAACTCCATCCAGAATTGCTAGATAACGACAGATATTTGTACTTTCACCTCCAGGTAAAGCAGCGGAGTCTCAAATCGGGGCTAATCCCAGTCTTACAGCAACAACATCTGATCGAGTTGATTAGGAGTAATCGGGTCGAGGAGGCTCTAGCCTTCGCTCAAAGCCACCTCAGCGAGGCTGGAGAGGACGACCCCTCGGTTTTGCAGGAGTTGGAACGGACAGTAGCCCTTTTGGCGTTCGAAGACCCCTTGAATAGCCCTTTCGGCGACTTGTTGGCCCCTTCTCACAGACAAAAGGTGACCAAAGTGAGATTTTTCACAAATTTGATGATTTCTTTCAGATTGCGAGTGAGGTAAATGCAGCGATTTTGAAAATGGAACACCAAGAAACAACGGCTTCGAAAATCTCAACGCTACTTAAGTTAGTTCTTTGGGCACAAGATAAGTTAAATAAGAAGAATGTCAGATATCCCAAAATGACGGATTTGGCCACTGCTATGATTGAAGACCCGAAGATTTAAGACCAGTTTTGTTACAGTAGATTTTACTTAAATTATTCAGCTACTACATCATTAGGTGTCAATTGTGATCACAGTTAGAGTTTTTTTGTAAATTTGTATACTAATTATAAATAAATAAAGGAAAAACATCAATTGAGGAATTAGTTTCTTTAAAAAGTACAAATACAATAAACTATAAATAAAAATCACCAACCAAAAACATACTCAATGGCTTTGGAGACTAAACCTGTGGATTTTTGGGGGACATTTTGTGGTGGCAGAACTGAGTTATTGCCACTTGGAGTTATAAAAGAGTGTCTTAAGCTCCTCGCCCTGACCGGCGACGTAAAAACATTCTCATTTTCCTTATTCTCCTTATCGTAGTGCAAACTAACCCCAATCATGATGTTATTACTTATGCATCTACCGTTCAGGGCTAGGGCTCGGGGCACATCACACAAATTATTAAATTTAACATGCAACCAATTCCCTTGCGCTGGCACTTTCTTCTCCACAATCACCCCACAGTTGCTCAACTGGGCCAAAACCAGACTCAGAGCACTCGGGGGGAACCCAAACACGGTCACCCAATGGGTGTCTATCCTATCCACGCGACTTAAATTCGACGTTTCGTTCAAATTCCGACTGTAATTGAAACTGTCCCCGATGGCGGTCGACTGGAGGACGGGACTAGTCGGCTTGCGATTTTGCTCGATGGTGTCGAACAAGCCTTGACTGGGGGGCCCCGGCTTGTGGGGAGTGAAGGGCTTAGGGCTGTCGAGGGTCTGGTTGAAGAGTCTGGGGTAGGTGCGCGGGTCGGGAGTGCTAGTAGCCCCCAGTTTGCGGGCCGAGGTGCGGCGGCCGGGAGATGTGTTGGGGTTGGGAGTGGCGGTCTGTGAGTTGTCCCCCATGAGGAAAGCTGGGAGGAAGTTGGGGTTGGCGGAAGGGGAGGAGGGGCTGGATGGGGCGCTGCCGAGGGTCATGGGCTCCATCGCGAACTGCCGAAGTAAGGTTATAAGTGTACAAATAAGAAATTTCAATAATACTCACCCAACGAGTGTTAAATGATTCGTGTTTTTTGTAGTTGCAAAATGTCAGATTTGAAAATGACAGGTAACCGAAATTTCGACGGCCATTTTACAGTTAGCCAGCAAAATTGTAAAAAACGTGTTGTGTATTATTGGTTGCATAAATGTTATTTTAAACTTATTAAAATAAATGTGTATTGTATTATTATAAGCAAATTAGCTATTTAATAATATTATAACTACATTATTATCAACTAGTAACAATAAAAACTAACAAACATATAAACGATTGTTTTAACAGTCAGCCAGCAAAATTATAAAAATATTTTATGCATTACTAGTTGCATAAAAAAAGTAATGCTTGTCTTTTTCATTATCATAAACAAATGACCTATTATTAATAATGTCATCAATAATTAATTAATTGAGGTTTGCCCCTTTTAGAAAAAATTTAGATAAAAATGTGCTAATAACTTCAATAAAGTTTGTTTCAAATTGCTGTACCCATCAATAAATTTAATTAACGTAATTTTGGTCGCTGTAAGCAACAGAGCTATCAACTTAAATTTCATGACAATTTGGAACAAACTCTACCTAATTAATTTAATGATTCAGCTTTTTTTGTGCAAAATATTTTCAGCGCTGGTTTCAGCGACCAGCTGTTGCAAATAAAACTTAAACTTTTTCATGGATCGTTTAGAAGAGAAGTAAAAGTTGGAGAACTTTTCACTTTGACGCTTTATTCGCCAAATAAGAGTAACGTTGAATGCATCTGCAAAAAAGTGACGCTTTTTCATGCTGAAAGCGTTCAGCTGAAAAATCGCACTTTCGTGATTTACTATGAAACCACTTATTGTGAAGTAGTGGATATATTTGTACATTTTTATTTCAATGCTTGGAAGTGCTATCTTTGAATTTTAAAATGTAAAAAAGTCACGTTTAAATGATTCATTTTAAACTTGTTGAAGTAGATTAAAATGATTTTTTTAATCATCTTTTTTATCGCAAATGACGTCTTTAAAGTTAAATCTATAAAAATTTTGATCGATGACATTATATATTACCTATTATGTGATAACAACTGATAAGATCCAGGTAATATCTATTGACATAATTTCTATGTATTTACTTACACAGAAATCTAATGACGTCTTTTTAAAATCCCCAAGCTTTTCACAGAATTTAAAAAAAGATGATTTTAAATTATAAAAAAAATATTGTAGACTGAACTTTTTTATCGCTTTTTTTGCAATTTTTTTAAAAAACTTCAAATTAAAAAACTGAAGTGATTTATTCAAATCTTTAGGAAAAAATTGACGGGTCAATGTACAGTATGTCTTTTATTAGAAAAATCAAACACTCAATACACAAAAATTCGTAAAATCTAGCACGCATGTGTCATTCACCGCATAAAAAAGAATGCTTTTGACAGCACTGACAGTAGAACAAGATGGCGATACCGCGAGTGTTGTGTCGCGTTCGCCTCCTAATTCCCACCGACTTTTCAGTGATTTCCAAATACTCGCCGGTCGTAAATAGTGTTTCAATAAATAAAGTAAGTAGGTTTTTGCCGGAATCGCCCGGAATTAGACGTGATCGTTCCAAAGTCGCCCGGAATTCAGCATCCCTGGAGGGTGCACCTGTTTTCGAAACGGAGCTATGCGGTTAAACCCCCTTTTTATCGACCTTCTGCATCATCGGCTGCTGGACCAACAAGTCTTACTATTTTAATTTTTTTTTGCCCTCAAAGGGAATGAGCGGGAGGAAAGTGATACATTATTCATGATGTCATTTATAATCCCCGAAATAAACTTGGCGGTGCGTCCAAGTGAATCATTTTTTCAAGAATTAAATAAAATACTCTCAACACTATCATTTTTAACTAGAAGGTCAATAACTCTATTTTGTAATCGAATCGACGGTGGAAGACAATAATTTATAAATCTCGAATTTTTATGTTGCTTGTAAATATTGACGGTCATAAATTTGTGTTAGCGAGTTTTTCTCAGTGTAATTGGTGGTTTTGTGTTTGTGTTATTAAATTTTAACAATCGGCTTTGAACGTATTATAATTTGAAAAGAGTGGCAATAAAATTCAATAACAAATGAATTGGTTAATAACGTCCTTGTTTGAGGGGAGGACCACCGGAAAATATTTTTGTTTACACAGTGGACATGTTGAAGACTTATTTCTTTTACCTCATCAAATATTCAATTTGGTTACATGTTATGCAAATGATCAATAAAACAACTGATTCGGAAATAGGTAACCACTTTATTTATGCATTAAATGATTAATCAATTTATTCGCTGACTAGCCTTTAAGCTGACCTAATTTGATGTCTATATTCCAAATTATTTATCTATCTTTCCGATTATTATCTGATTTGAATTGTAAAACCCTAACAATAGTAGATATTTCTTCCTTAATTCGGGTTTAATAACAACTAAAAGATTTTAATTTTTTGGAAAAATTACATTTTATGTAATAAAATAGCTGAACTGAAAACTTCGCGGGGATCTGCATTTTTATAGTCAGTAACACTTTTCATGGATTTTGATAAACCAATTTTTTTCAATAATTAACATTAACACGGCATAAACCCTAAATATAAAGAAAGTTAATAAAGAATAAAATCACTTTATCAAATAAAAGCAAGAATAGTATAGTTATCCATAGCATCGAGGGAAATAATAAATGCAAGGCTATAAATAAAATTCTATCGTGTTTTCTATAATATTTTTTTCACTACTAGCACATTTATTACCCAAAAATAGATAAAAAACATAAATAAATAATAAATAAATAATGTTTATCATCTATAAAGTACAACAATACCTAATAATAAAATTGCAGATACCGTGCGATCAAAAAAAAATAGAGTAGGCGACGATTACTATTCTACAGTTGGCAAGACGAAATTTTCCACACAACCTGGAAGTTAAAATGACCATGCACCATTTTCGTCTTGTACAGCATTTTTATAATAACTTACAACAATAAAAATTTTCTGCTCCCAAGTGAACATTATTTCACTCAAAACGATCAAAACGCAAACTTGTCTTTGCCTTTAATCACCGCCTACTCTAATTTATTTATTTTTTGCTCGCACGGTACTTATCAGACTCGTCAGTGATATTGTAAATATGTATTCAACTATTAATACCTATAGTTCACATTAACCTTATCACATAATGGGCATGTTTCCTCAGACGTAGCATGTCGTAATTCACAATTATTATTTTTGTTAATTTATTATTACCTACAGTAATTAATTGTCATACTTACCTGTTATTAACTTAAGTTGGTATGTATTATTTTATTTTTAACCTAAATGAGATAATGTAATTTTTAAAGTGAAACTTTTTTTCCATTGCCTCAAATTTTTTCGTCCGTCTATCGCATGTCGCATTACAGCCGGCCGCGGAGTAGGGGTAAAGTGAAAGACGCTCGGCAGAGTAGCCAAGGCCAATATGGCGGCGCCTATGACTCGCATCAGCTGACCGTGAAGCATTTATATTCTTACTCATTCGCGCAAGTGCTCCGCGGTATTTGTGTGTTTTGATCAATGTATTGATGTGTATTGATCCTAAAAAAAAATTCACTTGCGTCGTGGTTTCTTTAAACCATAGCAGTTTTTTTTATTTCTGCCTCTAATAAAGGAATTTTCTAACTTCATTATATGAAATATTTATTAAAATAACCCAGAAACTGCAGAGAAAAGGGAAAAAGTGTTAAAAATTTGCCCTACTATGGGTAGTATTTCAACATGAAATAAGCGCATTTGTCGTTTTGACAGTTTTGACAAAGACAGAAGAATTAGAGGTGGGTTATTCTAATGTTTTTTAATGAGGAACTTTAAGTCTTTTATTTGATTTTGCATTAATTTCACCTCCTGGAAACACTTCCGTTACTATTTGTAATAATAATAGTTAACCCATTTCTAATTCATTATTGCTCTTGGTCAATAATGATTAATGAAAATGATTATTGACAACTAGGAGAGAGAAACAACTTTACAAACTAAATAATGGTACTTTTTACAACTAGTAGTGAAAAAAGGTGTACTACCAAAAGTACGATTACATCGAATGACAAACAAAATGTTTTAATTTTTTTTAACTACTTACTGTGAATAAAACAATGAAAATTTATTCGATTCAAAAAAAATTTCTTTTACTATAATTTTACTATTAAAACGTTGGAAATATAACGATTATTATCGAGTGTATAACGATCACATCTAATAACGATCAATAAGATTTTTTCAAATTCAAAACATTGTGAGCAGTGCTTAATTGTAACGATGATACCTATGTAACTTTATTTAATTTTAATCAGAATTGGTGTTTTTAACTATAACGACTAACGAGACATGTAAAGTTAAAAAAAATACTACCATTTTCTTAATGGATTTGAATAACCAATGAAACAATGTTTGGTTGACTTTATTTGTAGCTTTCTCCTTAAATAACGACTAATAAATTCTTAAACGACTAGAATTGGCGATTTATTTATATGATTGGCCACAAAAGCTGTGTTAAATCGTTTACCACTGTCATAAACGCCAAATAAATGAAATGAGTCCAACTCGATTATTTTCCCTCATTATTCGCCACACGCCTTATAAAGATCGTAGCGAAAAGCAGAAAAGTGTCATTTTTAAACCCCATCGTTTTGTTTGCGGTCAGCAATTCGGGCGAAACCTTAGAGAAAACAAAGCCGCTCTAAAAGCCAATTTGGTCAATGTTTTGTTTCGTCAGCATTGTTCTAGGAACTAAATTGATAAAGTGCGTGTAATTTCCGTCTTTTTTCTAAAACTGGTAAAGGAAAGTCGCGAGTTCAAAGAGCCTTTGAAGGATGTTCCCGATCCTAGAGACTATTTCTTGACCCGTAAATAATTCGAGACTTGGAGATGTGCCCATGTCACAATTTTCGAGTTTTGGGGTCAAATATTTGATCGATTTTTCTCTTTTCAGTGTGCAAGGTTTCGACATTCGATACGACACTTTAGGACAAACTTTCCCGCGGGTTTAGTGTTAAATACATCGCAAAAACAGGATCGAAGCTCGTCCTCTTCATCAGACAGTGATTCCTCAGACTGCGATGAAGACGGTAAGTTAAAAAAGCGCATACTCTCGAAATCGATTTTCTCGCTCCTCTTATTCATAATTAAGCCCTGATTTGAATTTTTTGTCGGATTTTATGCTAATCTTCGCGGATTATTTCAACTTGTTTGGGGAGATGATGCGATCAATGCGAGAGTAAATATTTGTGTCGAGGGATTAGATATGTCGAAATTGCATGTTTTGGATGAAGTTGAGTGCTTTTATCACGTTATGTCATGACGGGCGTGCCTTGACATTGTCAATTTTCGGCTTGTTTCGCTTATTGAAAGACTGAATAAATAGGAATTTAATCAGAAAGCTCAATATTTTTTATGCTCGGAATTTGGGATTTCTCCAACTTTTTGTTTTTTCACACAAAATAAGCAATACGACTTATTTTGAAAGTTTTGCTTACTACAAAATTCTAGTATTTGTTATTGTACTCAAAAATAAACGTTTTACTTGTTTGTTGTTTACTTATCATTTTTTTTTTAAATTTCTGTTAAAAATAGAAGAATTGTTTATTATTAACTCCACATTTTCTATTTCCTCAGACAATATTTTAGTCATTTGGACTAATTTTGAACAAATTGCCGTAAATTCGATTTGAACGAATGTTGAAATTTTAACGATTTTCAGGAAAAGCAAAATTGCTCTTTTCTCACTATTTCTAAAAAGTTAAATGTTTCAAACAAGTCAAAAAAACTAAAGAAATTATTTTTCTCGTGTTTGCTTTGTGAATGAGATGTTGTGTTTACAAACTTATTGAAATGTCGTGTGCCACAAAAATGTTTACACTTGTCTCTTATCACTGTTAATTTTTAATTGAATTATACATTGTAGATTTTATCTTGATTACCTCATATTGGAGATTCGAGTAACGAACATGTGTGACATTCGGAAAATCCAATCTTGTCTTGTTTTACATACAAACTTTCGATTTGACGGTTCAATCCAATCTGACTACCAGATTGGGTTCAATACTTTTGTCACCGAAGAATTTTTTTTCAGTAACCAGAATTTTAATCTTGTGAAGTTTTCCACAGTATTGATTTTGAATTTTCGTTGTGTTTGAAAGTTGTCCCTGCAATAAAAGGACGAATAAGTCTTCTGCAGCCATGAATCCCGAATTTTCCTATTCTGTCTCGTTACTTAGGTAATCCAAAAATTCTCATATTATTGGATCCGCTTTTGTCAAGTTTTTTATTCATTTAATGCGAAAAACACGTTCGAGGCACGCATTTCTCCCTATTCTGAGAGATTTTATCGACTTGAAGTTCCGGTAGAGTCGACTAAATATTGATAAGCGGCGTTTCCGGGTTAATGGTGATTATTATTTCAAGAGTACTCGAGCGTTATAACAGTTTGTCTTTATTACTGGAATTTTCATAGTGCGAGGATTTTTTCTGTTCAATTGAACCATGTTTTATTCAGGAAAGTAGTAAAGTGCTTGATACTGAAAAAACACGCTGAAACTAGACCTAATTTGGCGGTTGGTATTTCATGAATCATGACCTTTACAAAAACCCCGAAAGTGTGGATTATGTCGGATTAAATGTACAAGAAATGACAATTTTCATGATAATGCGAAGGTAAATGTTAATTTTAATAATGGAGACCAAAATTGATTAAACATTTATTTTGTAGATAAATAAAAAACATTGTTATCTTTATCATCATAATAAAAACTTTGATAAGAGAGTGCAGTGTTTCATTTATTACTAAAACCAGACCACTAATTCCGTTTCGGATGAATTATTTTAAGGCAGGTGTTGTCTGATTTTGTCCCAAACCTTCGATCGATGCCAAATTTTAATTACAAAGAATTTTTATCTGAAAAACTAATTTTTTGTTCAAATGTTAAAACTAGAGTTAAAACGTAAATTTTATGTGTCATAAAAGTTTGTGTTGTAATAAACTACAACACATCAAAAATGCATCATATTGGAGTTTTCTGCTAAGTTGAGTCTTCTCTCGTTTTTGTATTTTTTTTTCCATCTCTGAAAACATTTCAGGCTGAAATTTCTTTCGTGTTGACCCAAAACCGATCAAATTAAATTAGGAACCGGTTTTAAAAGCCAATTGCGTGCTTGCATGTGGAAATATGAAAATATACAATTTATAAGCGTTGAATTGTTGGTTGCCTGACTAAATTGGAATTAATTTTCTTTTTTGTTGGGTTTTTTTTCTAAGCTTCGAAAATAGTTGGAAGCATTGACTTGCTTGCCAAACGAAATATTTTTGTAGCGTTTCTATTTTGGCTGAGGTCGATAGTTAACAATGATTTTCGTGAATTGGCGACGAATGATGAAAATTTTATTTCTGGCCGAGAATTTATTTCAGCAGTAAACAACATGAAACTCTAGTAAAAATGTGAGTTCCTTTACCTTGAGTTATGGAATTGCATTATGTAACATGTGACGTCAAACAAACTCGATGATAGCCACAAATATTTATTTACTTCATGTACAAATCATACACCCTAAACCTGATAACACCTACAATCACTACAACGTTTCGTCGAAATTCGTTGCATTTTCAAGCCACTTCATACGGCTCGAATTCCATATCGTCGATTTTTTTCGTTTTTTGTTTAATCGAGTCGTAATTGTGGTAATCGTACGTCACATTTTTGGTTTTGTTGTTGAAATTAATGCCGTTGTAGGTTTTTTCTTTGAGGTCTCCCCATTGTGTCATTTTTCGTTCTTCTCCGATTATTCTAGGTTGGGTATCCTCCATATTTTTCTTGATCGTTTCATTGATTGTGTTTTTATCAAGATTAACCTGGCAGTTTTTCAAATATTTCTCTTTCGACTCTTTCAAATCATTGGTTCCGACCAATTCCAAGCGACTATTGCAACTATTCGACTTGAGCAACTTGAATTTAACCCCTTGATAACTGTCTTTCCTGCAGCCACACTCAATGTTCTTCATTTCGTTACTGCGAATTTCTTCCATTATTGCTTTAGTTAGCACGGGTTGACCACACTGTTTCTTCACCACGCGGCCTCCGTAGTACGTCACTGTGGTTCCACATTCCCGGATTTTCTCCAGGATGTCCTCACTGACATACTGACGTTCGCAACAATGTTCAGTCAAAGAATCGTAAAGATTTTCCTGACTCCCAAAATCGGACAAATTAGAAGTGTTGGAATCGGTAGCCGAACACCGATCTTTGTCAGGATCAACAGTTTTCTCACACTTTTCGCCCTCAAAATCCGAACTCTGTGACCGTTTTAACCCCCCTTCGAAAAACAGCCGGACTTGTTTAACGGTATCAGGATTCGGTAATTCATCATCGTTCACTTCTTTGTTCACACGGATTGGGTGGTAGAAGAAATGGCGTTTCAAAGTTGCATTTTCTTCATTTTTGTGCTTGTGCAACAAGGGTGTGACGTTTTTTGCGGTTTTTGGACTCTTATTGGTCGATTCGTGCTGGATTTTCGTTCTAATTGGCTCAATTATCACGATGTTGTTGTCGCGAAGCAACTCCTGAAAACTGTAGTCTTGCAAATACTGCATGAGGCCATCAAACTGACTTTCCTTTTCGCAATTTGCGAAGATTTTCTTCTGGAAGAGGTCGGATTTGACCACTCTGTACCTCACATGGTCGAATTCCGGGTACGTGATGCTCATGGATTTGGTCACGGGTTTGTGTCTCTTCTCCTCTTTGGAAATAATTTCAACGATGTTGGGGTTGAGACTCTCGAATTGATTGGAGTTTTCGAAATAATTGCATGACTCTTTGATGAAGGGTGAGATTTTTTCAGCCTTGTCGACTGATTTCTTCTCAAAGAGTTGCTTGGTGATTTGAACGATTCCGGGCTTTTCCGGCTCTTTTTCGTCCGGTTCAAATTTCTTCTTCATGTCTTCAATCTTCGTCTGCACGTCTACAATCTTGCATTTTTCTTCATTTTTTTCACCATTGACCATTTTGTCCCAGTATGTTCGCATAGTGCCCAACTTTTCCTGGTACTCTTTTGTACATTCATCCATTTTGGTCTGAAACGCCACAATTTCAGGCTTAAAATTATGATTCTCGTCGAGTTTGACACTCAGAGTGTCTTTCAGACTTTTCACAGCTTCGAGAAATTGTTCCTCGGATCGATTCTTCCCTTTCTTGTTCTTGCTCTTCCTCGGGACTTTTGCAATCTTTAGTTCGAAATCAACGGGAACACTGGTATTAGCCGTAATATCGAAATGTTTCCCAATATTGACAATAAACCGATTTTCGCTTTTATTAGTTTTCTCCAATTTGCGTAATTTACGATCAATTTTCTCGCATTTTCGTAAACTTTTCGTAACGGCGAGATCCGGAAGTGAGTAGAAACGATTATCGATCAGGTTTGTGCTTTTCCGGGATAAGTTTGATAATTTCTTGCTTAAAAAATTCTGTAACGGTTTTTTCGAGCCTTTTTGTGTTTCGAGAAACTCGCGCAAGTAATTGTGACTGTGTTTGTTCTTCTCTTCTTCAGTTTCGTCCGGATTGACGGTTATTATAGTCTTGTATTCTTCGTTTTCTGGTGCTTCAACTTCGATGTTAGTTTTGATGGGTTCTGGTTCGAGCACTTCGCTGTAGTTGGGTTCGTCAACTTCTAAAATTTTTGTGATGTTTTCATTGATTTCGTCGAGGTTTTTGTCCGTTTCGAAGTACTCCAAACTGATTTGGTCGTTATCTTCTGTTTCTTTGTGTTTATCTTCTGAAGAGTCAGAAGAGTAGCTTCTTCGATAGTAATTCTGTTGGTCACTATTGTAAGTAGTTGGGCCTCTTATAGTCTTTGGTTTAGCGTAATGATTCTCTCGGATGGAATCATATAAAGGTCTGTTTGCACTTAGTACTATATTATCGTCGTAAGGGATACTCTCAGGTTCATTTATCGTCCACTTTCCCGCTGAAATATTATCACACGAGGAGTACTTTTTACTGAAATCACCATACGATGATAAATCATCAGCTAAAGAGATCGCATCGGTGTTATCAGTGTCGTATCGCGAATCGGGATAATAGTTTGGAAGACTTAATCCTTGAATATCCTCACAGGACACTCTCTTGTCTTGCTCTTTGCCAATAAGGAATTTGGGACTTGCCAAGTTACTTATTGACGTATAGACGGCTTCCGGGACGTTTGACCTTTCCGGGGAATAATCCGGAGGACTTATGCTCAGATTATCAATACTTTGGCCCCGAATAACAGCGTACCTGAAACCAAAATTTTTTTTCCTGAATTTTTCAACAATGGTACTACTACCTAGGCTCCTTCGATCGTTCAATCAATTTCGCTCGAGGAATCAACTGGGATCGTCTCGGTTTCTCACACTGAATGTCCAAATTGGTCCAAATATCGTCCCGTGTGATAAGACTTCGACACCTCCTCAAGGAGGATTGTTGCGAGTCGCCCCACGGGTCGCTGGATACGTTTTCGAGACTACCCCTCTGGAACTTATTGCGGGGGCGTTTCGTGTACGTGCCGTTGTCGATCGAGGGTCGGTTGTGACGTCGAGAGGTGAGTTTTACGTTGTTTATGCACGACTCTCTGAAATAGAGCGGATGGTAATGAAGGAATTTCAGGAAAGTTCGCTCGACCTTATCTCCGGAATTTTATGACGAGGGAGGCATCAAAATCGCGTTACAAGACTAATGCAGGTTATTGATCAGACATTGCACAACGTTTAACCCAAATGTGCCGAAAAAAGGGAATATCTAACGAAGTGTTGTAATTTTTTTGTAAAATTCAAAATTATGTATTTTTGGTTTTTAGGTCAAAGTCTGCAAGTAAAAATTGTTCACGACTGATTTTTTCAAAGATAGAACACTCAAAAATCGAATTAAAAAAAGTCAAATTGGCGAACCATGATAATATTTGGAATCAGGAGGGCCAAAATATTTTAATTTGACCTTTACATTATTTCAAAGTGTCAAACTAAGACATTTCACATGATTCTAAATCTGATGATTTTGGTGTCAAAAATTGGGTAAAACCCAAAAACCAGTGTTTTTAATTTTAATAAAAAAAATTAAAAATTTGGGTGGTCTAAGGGTTTTTTTCTAAGAGAATGAATTGTTTTTGTGCTTTTTGGTTGTTCGAGCTTCCAAAGCTTCTCAATCAAATTTTAAGACGTGTTGATGGTCTTATAAATCTCGGGAGCTTAAACCCTGCTTGGAGTTAATGGTTCCAGTAGGGAATGGGATTTTGTGCTTATTTTGTGTTTTAAAAGTGCGTTTTTAAGGATCACATGACCGACTTACGACTTTCGCTTTCGCACAACACTTCGTTCCGTTTCATGGCTAGTACTACACTGAACTATAGTACCGCCACTATCCGTACAAACCTTGTACCTATGGAAATAAGCACCGATTACATCTAAATTGAATTTGAGTCATTAAAAAGCCCCGTTTGGCTCAAAATCACTTTCCGGTGTGCGTTCCAAGGGTGAACAATAGACCTCGAACTCGTCATTTTTTACCTATTTGGCGTATTTTTCAGTCACGTAACGACCCACTTTGCGTTAACAAAGTATACAAACAAGGCGTTTATTGTTGTTTAAAGTCTGCGTCAGAAGATGATTGCGTTGTGCAATTAATTCCGAGTTTTCTTTTCGAAAATTTCTGTGTGTTTAACAATGTTTGTGCTTGATTTTTTTCGGAAAGTCAGTTTCGAATTTTAATCGTTGGTGTAATTATCGATAATTGTAAAAATCGGGGCCAATTACGTCTAATCGAGCGATTATCGTCATCATCATCAAGAAAAATCAACGCAATTACCCGGAGGTTGAGAATTCCAGTCCACTCCAGACGCGGATTTACGGTACGCGTGATCCCGGAAGGAAATCCGGTAGATTGTCATTAAAATTTTTCGAATTAGTGGAAACGGAGCGGCACGAAATCACACTCACAGGGGGATAGGAGACCTACTGAGGATGATCTCGGTATCCACAGCGAAATTAAATTCCGTCCTTGAAGGATCTACGTATTATTATGACCGGCAATCATAAGCAAGGCTGTGTGAAAACTACGAGAAGCCCCCAAGGGGCACGATTTTCCGATTTTTGCAAAATAGGGCCCACAAAATCACAAATTTCAATCTTAATTTTACTTAAGGCTAAGAAAATAAAAGTGTACAAAAAGTTAAAAGCTATTATTGATTGGTCATGCTTGATCAATTATTACTGGAATTATGAGTAATAAGTAATCGTATATTTGTTGCGTAAGAAAATCTACTTGAAAAAATTATATGCAATTTGAAGAGAATTTTATTAGTTGAATTATGAAGAAAAATTACGTAAACCTTCCATCTAAGATAAGAGTATGGTTAAAAATAGAACATTATTAATTTATAGTTGTCAAAATCGAGCAGAGCTTTGAACCCTATGAGTAAAACAATAAATTGTAGGTTTTTTACTTTTATAAAAGAGTTAATCGGATTTCTTTTTTTATTCTGTAATCGGATTATTACTCTATCCTTGTCGGGAAAAAATGCACTCAATCGTGCAAAAAACCTTAATTCGTGACAATTCCTCCACAAATGTGCTAATTTCATTAGACTACATCCTGGCACGAAGGAGTACTTGTTAATAACCCAATTATCGCTCGAATAACGTTTTCAAACATTTAAATCGTCTCTCATAAAATACTCATATTTAATCCTCAATTTGTATTTCCGCCCCTATCCATTTACTGGCTTAACTCATCAACAAAGCAGATAAATAAATAAAAAAAATGGTCACGCGTCGTTATGTAACGATTCTCAATCGGATTTAAATTTTAATTAGGGAATTTTAATTAATGGCCGAAGGACAGTTTTGATGGGAGTGCTTAACCACCATAAAAATATAAATAAAGTTACAAAAATAAAACCCAATTATTTTTTCTAATTACGCTAATAGCTAAACTAGCGTGCCTCTAATTGATGACGCAACGGTAATATACAGCCGGTCCCGTAACTCACTACGAGATTCCTGGCCCGTGGAAATCCTGAAGTTTTTCATTAGCGAAAATAAATTATTTTCTTTTTGCAATATAGTGGTTTTGGGATTATTTTGCCACTGAAATCGCCAGATTTGGGCCTCTGTGAAATCTCTTGGTTTGGCATTTCATTCTAAAATCGTTGATAGATAGACAGACACAATACATCACCTGTCAACTACACCGTGTAACCAACCTTAGGCAATCGAAATTACTTCTGAAAATTCTAATCACAAACATGAAAAACGTAATTTTTCTAAAAATTCTAATCTTGGGTGGTAATTTCTTGTTCATGAATCTGTTTATTTTCATGAGAATAATTTTCCGTCATTTGGAAATGTATTTTGTACCGTTGTTTGGTTCGGAATTTCCAATTTGAAGTTTAATTAATTTTATCTCTTTTGTGGTTAACCACATCAAAGTTTTTATATCTGATCGTAAACCGGCAAAAATCCTATTTCTTTCGCACAAAATACGAAAATAACCAATGTTGTGTGTCCCTCGACGTAAAAGTTTAAAAACTTTCGATCAGTAATGTTCCACTCTGATTTTGGTCTTTTAATTAATCAAGTTGAAGGTGCGCCTCGTGGGCCCATAAATCAGCCAATATTGGTAATAAATCATCGAAAAAAAAACCGACACGCATAATTAAGAGGTTCGGTACATATTAACCGATCGACAGCTGGTGTCGCGGTAAATAAATATTTGTATTTTGCTATTTGTCGAGTTCGAGACGAGAGGCTTGAAAGCACGTGCCTGCGCCGCAGGGTGGAGAGAATGAATTTAATTAGTTTTTAATTCGAGCATTAGTCTGAAAGTCGGGAATTCGGCACACGAATGAATTATGTATTGTTCTAACAATGTAACAATTAAATTTTCACTATCTTTGAAATTTGGCACCGTTTCACATACCGTTTAAAAATAAATAAATTCGGACGTTGTTTGAAATGTTCGTGAGCATTTATGTCAAGAATTGACTTGATTTTCTGCATTGACGAGAATGTGAATTTTTAAATCCTCCTACTGTTTAGATGTCTTTAATCCCGGAAGCGTGGAAAGCGACTACAGGAAGCTTTAGAAGGTTTATATAGTGAGCCTGGATGAATTGAAAGAGTCTTTGATTTCTCATGAATTTTTTCGAGCTACTTATGCACCGAAGCTTTGTCTGTTTTCAGTAGAATTGTTTTGGAAGACTGAAAAATGCAATTTATGTTCTCTTTTCCCATTTTTCAGTGTTTTTTTTGTTGTAATTTTTGTGTTGATTTAAACCTTTTTCTGTAAGTAGCAATCCAATTTATTTATTAAAAATCAAATTCTTTTAAAAATCAATAATAAAGCTATTATTAGAGTCATTTAATTTATTCCTTATACGATTGTTAAGGAAAAATTGGGTTTCTAGAGATATTTTATACAAAAATAATAATACATCGTTATTTTTATAAGTCGTAGTTTTGCACTATTTTTCGAAAATAGCTGAAGTGGAAAATTTTTCTGCATAAGCCAGTCCAGCCTGATTTTTGTATACCTATACAGATGGTGGAATTTCAGCTTATTCTTTTGAATTAACATAAACAATTTTTTAAATTTTCTTCAAATATACGTTTAAAATAGAAACTTTTTGATATACGGGGTGTTATTGTTACATTTTTAACATACATATTTTTTTTAGCAAAGTAAATTTACAGACAAGCAATCAGAAGATTTTTATCAAGCCTTACTAGTTTTAATTTTAATTAATTTGAGAAGACTACTATTATTATTGTTTTAAATTACTAAAAAAGCAGCAGTTTATTTTCTCTTTTTTCCATTTTCGATGATTATTTTGTTGTAATTTTTATGTTATTTAAACCATAGTTGAGGTAGGTATATTCCGAATTCTAGAAATACAGAGTGTTCCGTTTTTATTGTTATAAATTTAAACAGGTGATAGAATATTCAATTTTAAGATAAAAGTTTTTTTTATGTGTATGGAAAATTTTTATATTAGGGAGCCACATCCCCTGAAAGGGGTGCATCTTTTAATGGTTTTTTTCCAATATTTCAGAAACCATTGTAGAGAAAGTTTGGTACAATGGATAACCTCTATACACCCAAACGAATTCAAAGGTAAAATAGCGAAATTTTTACTTAGGAGCGTCCTAAACTGGGGGATTTAGAGTAAAAAGTACCCTAACTATTTTGGCTGTTAATTCTTGCCCCTTTCAGATACAAAATTTTAAATTTCATAGTTTTTCACAAAAAAGAGGTGTCTTGCGTTTTTTTGATACAACTTACCGTTTTAGAGTAAAATCAGTTTAAAATTTATGCTACACATCATAAAGAGGATAAAAATTAAATTCGTTTTACCGTTTAAGACGCCCCTGATTAAAAATTTCGACAACTGATCTTTGAATTCGTTCAGGTGTTTAAAGCACATCAGCTGTATTAACTTTTGTAATTTTATCTATTTTGCAATAGTGGGAAAACCCCTTTAAAAAACGCATCTCTTTTAGAGATTGTAACTCCCTTACATTTTTTGATACATGTTCATAGGAAACTTTTGTCTTAAAATTGAATATTTTCCCACCTGTTTAAATTTGTAACAATAAAAGCAGAACACCCTGTATATTTATACAAATATTATTTACAATAATTATTATTTTTATAAGTCATAATTTTTCGAAAACAGTAGTTGTAATCTTTTTTTTTTTGCATAAGCTAATTTGTCCTGGTTTTTTATATACATATAGACTGGTCCGAATTTCACCTACCAGTTCTCTTGAAACAGTTTTAACCATTTTTTTGTTTTTCTCAAAATATGCTTCTATTTTTTGATATTTTTTTGATATACTATAGGGTGTTATTGTTAATATTGTTATATAATTCTTTTTAATCTAGTGCAAATCTTCAACGAAACGCTTCTCACGTCGATCTCACAATTCCCCTAATTATGACTGACTGTGACTGACATCCCATGCCGCCGCCTTCCTCTATTTTGTAGTGCATATTCGTAACAATATTTACTATATTTTTTTCTTTACAAATTTAAATTTACAGACAAGCATTCAAAGGATTTTATCAAGGCTAATAGGTTTAATAGTTTTAATAAATGAGAAAACTATTATTATTATTTTGAAAGACTGAAAAATGCTCTTTTTCCCATTTTCGGTTGTTTTTAGTTGTAATTTGTATGTATTAATTTAAACCATATTCTGGAAGTAAGTAGCAAACCAACTTGTTGATTAAAACATTAAATACGCTTAAAAAATCAATAATAAAGCCATTATTACTAGTCGTTTAATTTATTCGCTATTCGATTCGAATTGAGGTATAATCCGGTTTTTAGAGATATTTTTATACAAATATTATTTAGAGAAACTGTTATTTTCCAAGTCGTTGTTTTGCACCGCTTTTTGAAAACAGCTGAAGTCGAATTTTCTTTCTCTGTAAGTTAGTTTGTCCTGATTTTTTTATATGCAGAGTGGTCCAAATTTCATCTGCCAATTCTTTAGAATCAACATATTTTTTTTTGTTTTCCTCAAAATATACGTCAACAATTAAACAATTTTTGATATACAGGGTGTTATTGTTACATTTTTATCAAGTTTTTTCTTTACCAAAATAAATTTACAGACAAGTATTTTATCAAGGGTAATACGCTAATAGTTTTAATAAAAGATTAATCTCATAAAACTATTTTGTCCACATCATTATGTATATTTTCTAATTTTATATTTTTACAGAAGTCTTTTAATTATTTTGAAACAATAGAAAAATGACAAACTTTATTTTTATAATTTGATGAGTTTATTGAAAAAAAATACATCCTAGCGACGGTTTCCTGAACTCCTACCTAATTTTTTTTGAATCATACAGTATAAAAATCGAATATTTATTCTTTTAACAAAGATATCTCATCATATTTTTTTATTTTCCGTAGTTTTTGTCCAAATTCTCATTTCATAAACTGTTATATTGGCTATTTGACCAAGTTTTGGGCTCAATTCTTGGGTTACCTCCTTTTTCTTTGATTCTGGCTCTTGTTCGGCGCGTCCTCGCCCATCCAGAGCGCCTCCTGTGCCTCCCGCAGGAACTCCGTATTAGCATAATGATTGCTCTGTCCGGCACCTATTTTTTCTTTAAATTTTCACACACACACACTGACACACACCCACTGAAAATCTCACTGTCACTCTTGCGGGTGTACTGACGGTAATAATAAGCCGGCGTTGTACCTATGGCACACTCTCTTCGTTTCACAATGGTCGTATTAATTAAATTTTATAACGTTTTCTTCTGTGCGCTTTCTGCTCCGAGGAGTATATGGAGTAACGGTGCGAGCGAGATGGCGGCGGCGGCGGTATATTTGTATGTGGATGGTTTTTATTTAATTAGAAATGTATGTGTGATAACGGTTTGTTTCTTCTTCATTTCGACTAATTAGTTAATGATGGGAGAAGGAGCGACTGTTGCGGGGAATAACGATGTCATGTAAGGATTTCTGTGACAATAGAACATCATCTAACAGTAGATTATTCATTTAGGTGCCAAACACTGTCTAGATAATGGAATAAGTAACGCGAAACGGGAATAATTTAGCGAAATTTTTGATAATTTGACTAGTTCCTCCCTCGAGATAATTTTATAAAAATCGTCGCTCCCTTGACTGAAATCGGATTAAAATAAAAATTTTCCCGACGTCGAATTACCTTCCGTTTGTAGCAAAGCGTCGAGTTTGCTTAAGCTTGAGGTCATTATTTTTTTCAACTTAACACAAGTTTTTAGCTACTTAACAATTATAAAACATCAGGCGTAGTAAATGCTTTGGACCAAGTATTGAGTTACCAAGTTTCGAGTATCGATTTCGAGATACGATCATGGAATTTTGCCGCATAGATGTGTGTTGCAGTGGGGCAAAATCCTGATTTTTTTTAATTGACAGTTTAGTCAATATTTTGCAATATTCCGGTTGTGGGTCCAGAATAAAAGTTTTGCTTTTATTCCGATTCGATTTTCTCTTTTATGACACACGTGTCGCAGAGGCTGTTTCAGATTTTCGAAAGTTTGGGATTATTTTATTATTTATTAGTTTTAATATCGAATTATGCATGCGATTCGACACACTTGCTCGACGGTCATACTCTAGTAATTTTTTTAAAGATGATACATTCACTCAAATTCTAAATTAGCTCCTGATCAGTTTTTTTTCTCCCCTTGGTGCGCTACTGGACAAATTAAGGATCCTCCTAAAGCGGAACACACTTTGATTTAATATCCTTTGAGTATCGTTAGCTTTTAATGTCCGAGACACTTTGTTCCAGTTTCGAATTAAATGATTTTTGCTTGCTTGGTCAACAAAAGGACGAATTAATGCCACTGTGACGTTTTTCAAGCGAATTTATTGCTTTAGGGCGAAAATATTTATTCTAGAGGGATGGAAATCAAAGCAGAGGGAGGTTTGATTACAAGCCGGCCGAAATAAAATTAAAATTAAATTAAATATTGTAAATTGTTGTTGAATGAATAAGATATACCTAATATTATTAAGATCGCCTCCGAAATTTCTTGGTTTTTGTTACCTGGAATTTGCAATTAATAACAATAAAAATATATTATTGTATATTATTGTGATATACAAAAGAAAGGGAAACAATAATAAAAAAATGCAGAAAAAGTTTCGAGATAAGTAATTAAAATGTAATTACGTAAATTAGTAGCGAAAGGACGTAAGATGATAAACATAAGCATACGAATAACCTTAGAACTTTGAAAGACATTGCAAAACAAAACTTTGAGAACTTAAAAAAAAAAAGTAGTAAGAAAAAAGTTTATGAAAATATAACGTAAATTATTATAAACCTAGAAAGAATCTAAAAAATCTTGCCTAATTTTCCTTAGATGTAGACTTACAAGAATGTTGGAACTTGGGATCTAATGATCGATTTATAAATAATAAGAATGTTTACAGTGTTTTTCTTTTGGTTTTCCTCTTTTGTCAAATGTATTTTACTATTTCATTTAATATACAGGGTGTTTCACATAATTTTACGAGGCCTGCGCCTGTAAGATGCAAAAAATAATACATATTCCGATACGAACTCGATTACCAATTTTGAAAAATTCGATAATCTTCTCTAGTTTGTTCACCCTTTGAAAAATTACAACGTTTTTAGTTAGTTGGTGATGAAGATATGTAAACTAGAATCGTATTCATGCCGTCTCTTGATAGAACAAATGATAATTTTTTCTGAAAAACTGCAGTTTATGACTATTAATGAAACAGTGATTAGTTTGACAATTACTGTCATGGGTTTCCAAAAATTAAATAATTAAAAGTGAATTTTTTGTATCTAGTATTTTGTGATTTTTGTATATTTGGGTGCGTACATTAGGCGCAAGCCTCGTAAAGTTATGTGAAACACCCTGTATTAATGTCAAAGCGACGTAGGTGGGAAATAGTTTTGAGAAATAGTGAAATACATTTGACAAAAGAGGAAAATCAAAAGAAAAACACTGTATTGTGATACAACAAAAAAAAAAGAAAAGTGAAAGACCAATAACAAAGAAAAACGAGAAATAAAATATAATGTAAATGAAATCAACTTTAGGACTTAAAAACATATGTCAAAACAAAAACTTAAGAGTTTTGTAAATGTAAAAAAAATGTAGTTAAAAAAGAATCTAAAAAAGCATGTAAATCTAAAAAATGTAGGTACAACATAAGAACGCAGATGTAAGATCATGCAAATATAATACGTAAACTATCACAAACCTAGAAAGAATCTAAAAAGTCTTTCTTAACTTTTCTTTAGAACGTAAACGTAAGAATATAGGGGCGTCAGAACTAAATCTAATGGTCAATTTACTCAATAGAATTTAACTAATTCCTTAACTTTTCATTATTATTATTAATCGCGAATCAAAATTGTAATCAAATTTTCTATAAATCGGCCTTTAGATTTTAACGTACACGTAATAACGCAGCATTCTAAAAACGTAAGAATCATAGAATTAATAACTTATAGAGAGAAACGTGAAAAATTTGAAATAAGCACATTAGAAATGTAAGAATACTTCTAAGCGTAACGTAAGAACGTGATAATTTAATAAGAATAAAATTTTTGTCGTAACTATAATCAAACTTAAAAAAATAAGCAAAACGTAAATAATTCAAGGATTTAGACGTAAACTAAATTCAAAACGTAAGAGTATAAGCAAAAAGGTTAGTTATTTAAGAAATTTACGTTACTTATCGTAAAGTAATGTAAACGCAGAACATATTTATAAAGTTAGATAAAGAAGAAAATTTTTGATGGGGTGTGTCTGAATTTTTTTTTTGTTCAATTTTGCGTCATTTTTAAACACCAAAACTTAATTTGGCTAACTGCCTCTTTGATCGTATCTCTTGCGATTATAATAATTAGAAGCTAATTCATATGTGGAACGCAACAATTCGTGTCGAATTTCTCTCCTGCAAATCCATTCGGAACTTTTAATTATCCCCAACGTCGGACTAATGAGCTTACATACGTAAGCTCCTGTTCGGAAATTAAGCTCCAACTCTAATTATGCTTAATTTGATTTCTTTGCAGACGTAACGATAGAATATCACCGCGGCTTGCCCCAAATCACCGTGCCACTTCCCAGCAGAAGGGAACGATGTAGGTTTACGCTGAAGCCGATCTCGAACACAGTCGGCGATTTCCTCGAGATGCTGAAAAAGGAGGATCGAGGTATCGATCGAGTGGTGTGCAAAAGCACAGATGGGACAAGGATAGCGTCCTCCACGACCATCGAGACTTTATTACAGGACGATTTTAAATTACTCATCAACGATAATGCCTACAACGTGGATTCGCCTAAGCAGGAACGGCTGACTACCGAAGAGGTTCAAGGGTAAGTTTATCTCCCTGAATTTTCTCGAATTGTTTGTAAAATTCCTGTTGCAGGTTAAGCGACTTGAAAGCGCTAGTGAGTCGACTTTATGAAGCTTTAAACGTACGAGACCACCAATTGCAGAAAGAAGTCGAATTGACGACGCAATTGGAGACACTCCAGCAGGAAATACTGCCTCTGGAGGAGGTAATTACAATACGCTTTCACGCAAATTCGAGTTTCAACATCTGTCATTTGCAATTAATTCGGAAATCGGTCAATTACCAACGCTGTGTTAATTAAAGTGAAGTATTTTCGTATAAAAACGCATTTGCTTTCGTTCTTTGTCGTCGGTTTCCACACGGTTGCATTTTAAAAATTGCACCGGCGACAGGGAAAGTAAACATAGACAAAGAATACACGAAAGCTGGATTTTCTGACCTATTTTCTCGGCCACAAACGCACGAAATGTGCTGCTATTTATGGAAATCGATCGTGAAAATTTGCAATTTGGGTTGATGTATTCATTATTATTGTCTTTGACGGGAGTGGAACGGCTCCTCTGGGACCGAGTCCGGGACTTGGGGGTAAATTCGTGCACCTTGACCAACTTATCCCGAGTAACAAATTATAGAGTGAACGGAAATCGAAGAATTGGGCGAAAGCTCCGGTTTTGTAACGAGTGAAGGGGCTGTTCCGGGTAATTTATTACAATTTACTGAGAGCTTTTGCGGTTTGTAGATTAGGGGTTTCAAAGGAACAGCATGTGTACATTTCAAACTTGGGCTAATTAAGTACTAAGCTACTAGGGAACAAAAAGCTTCGCTTCAAGAGCTGTCAGTGCTATAAAAAGGCCGAAACCACAGAAAAATTCACGTTCTACTAAAAGCATACTTAATTTTTTTGAAAAATAATTATTAAAAAATGATTTTTATGGGTTTTACAGAATTCCTTTTATGTCACATAACATAAAAAAGTAAGATAGAAATAAATAAAAAAACATGTACTTACTCGTCTTATTTTCGATGTTTTTTCGCAACAAATTCGCGCTTCATGATATTGATGTTTGCTTATACAGGGTGTTTGAGGATTGCGAGCAAATATTTTAACCACTAATAGGACTCGTCAAAAGAAACAACTTTCGTTATTCCAACTTTTAGCGAAAGCACGTCATTTCTGAGTTAAAATTAAAAATAAATTGAGGCTGAAAACCCGTCCCCGCCTATGTCTTAATACGATGTTTACAATCATTCATAAGAAAAAACTTTGGAACGTAAACAGCGTAAAGACAAAAAAATTATCGCTACATTATGGTAGATCATTGTCTATGTTAGTGGGTCAATACTTGCTATTATAAAAAATTGCTCGAAATGTGGTCACTTTTTGTACTCTTCGGGCTAGGGAAGCTTGCGTTCGCACACACAGCCCTCCGAAGGTATAAATTTGAGCTGCGTACACTAATTCACTAATTGTTTCATGTGAACCCCCCAAAAACACACGTATTTAAATCTGGTGATCGCGGTGGTCATTGGCGACCAATCCATTTCTAGGGAAAATGATTGTTCAATCCATTGGTGACGACTTTGGCATAATCTGATGGAGCTCCACTTGTAAATACCGCATGTGTCGCCAAGGGCAGGTCCTCCACCAGATCGGACAACACATTTTCCAAAAAATCCAGATAAACGGCACTAGTTAAACGTTGAGGTAATATGTGGGGTCCAATTTGGTGATTTTCAATGATGCTGCCCAAACATTTAGTGAAAATCGGTCTTGGAAGTGCGATGTCTGTACACTAGTTAATTTGGCGTTTGAGTAGTTGGCCATAATGACTTGATTGACAATTTGATTTCAAATCGATGTGCACAATTCAACAGAAAGCGCATTACTGACTAACTAAACTGACACGTGTAAACAAGTGATAATTTTTTTGGATAAAAAGTTTCCTTTTTTCTGTATAAAAACTTTCACGGTCAACATTTAATGCAATTTATTTTCATTGATATTTTTACTTCCAACTAACAAGGACAGACACACTGACCGGCTCGTGAAAATCATAGGGGGGAAATTGCAAAAATAAAATTTGAGTATGGAATTTGTTTGGTCTTCAATTCGACTTTTCATAACAAATTCTCTTAGTGGTTAAAATATTTGCTCACAATCCACAAACACCTTGTATTTTGTTCTTTCTGCGAAGATTATCTAATTCGCCTTTTGTTTCTAAGCAGAAAAAGCTGGAGCTGGAGCAGGTGGCGAACAGACGCAGCAACTGGATGGCATGGGCCGGCTTGGGGCTAATGTCGGTCCAGTTCGGTATTTTGGCCCGTTTGACGTGGTGGGAGTACTCGTGGGATATTATGGAACCCGTCACTTATTTCGTGACGTACGGCACTGCCATGGCCGCTTACGCCTATTTCGTACTGACTCGCGAGGTAAATACGATGTTTTTTTTTAACTATTTCTAAAAATTTGTTTCAGGAATACATGTTAAACGATGTTAGAGACAGACAGCAACTGCTTGTGCTTCACAAAAAAGCCAAAAAGACTGGTTTCGATGTTAATCAATACAACGTTCTCAAAGACCAAATAGCTAAACTAGAATTAGATTTAAAAAGGTTGAGGGATCCTCTGAAATTGAGGCTGCCGCCGAAAGCCAAGGAGGAGAAGAAGGCAGAAGAGGAGAAGGCGAAAGAATGATGCGTGGGATGTTATTTATTGAATGTAGGGTAGTGAGATGCCATTGCAGTATAAGGGTTGAGGACTGTTACGAAGCTCAATTTTTGTTATTTATTAAGGACTAATGCATGTTTTCGGCTGTATATATGTACATTTGTTGTTTAGTACAAGGGCGGAGGGCCAAGTGGCCCTGTATGTATTTTTTACCAATATAGATATTTATTTTTTTATTTTATTTCTTTGTGCGACTTTGCCTCTCCGCGCCCCTAGTTGGCACTTGTGATACTTTTACACAAAGACGACTAATTTGCGATATTTCCAACCAAAGTTTATTTTTTTAGCTTGTATGTATATACAGTTGACGTTGACCGCTACCACCATCAGGGATTTTAGTACCTCTCTCCCAATGCTTCTCTTCTAACAGCGAATTTTGACAAAACTAAGCACAAATCCGTCCTGTTTAGGATGTAGTCGTTCTTCTTAGTATTTTGAACACCATCCGCTTAATTACGTTTAACTTCCCTTTAATTATTATGGTGCTAGGCTATGTTAATGCACTCGCGATTGTAATTGCACACTTTTTGCTGTGATTTGGTAATCCAACGAGATACAATCATTTTTGCATGTTTCGAAGCTTTAATCTTTGACATTTTTTCAAGTTTGTAAATATAGATGAGCTTAATTGTTGACTTTTGCACCTCCGCAGTGCCAAAGTGAGGTGAATTTTGTAAATCTTATCCAGTTATTGAGATTTTTGACTTCCACTTGGAGACCTCTATTATCCTACTAGTGTATAGTTCATGGTTTTATACTCGCGCCAGCCATATTTACTTAAGTATAGCCTTCGTTTGTTGGTTTGTTTACAATCTCAAGACTAGTGTGATTCATTTTATTATTGTGACGTTTGTACATATTCAAATCTTTTAATTGTAATGACATTACGAAATATACAATTGTTGCCAAATCTTGCTTCACTTACCCCACTCTCCCCAACAAAACACACAATTTTAGCAAAAGCCTTTTTTAAAAAAAAAAGTAAAAAAACATGAAAATATAAAGCGAAATCAAGGCTTCTTCTGCCTTCTCTCTGTCATAACAACCCCATTTTGATCTATAATATCGACTCTCTTCAAAACCAACAAGTCGTCATCATCATCATCACTAACTTCAATAATCTCCGTCTTCCTTCCACTTCTGGCCACTACATTTTCTTTCCGCTTCCACGGCCTTTGAAGCTTTGGCACATCTTCAATTTTCTTCTCATTAACTTCAACAATCTTCTTCTTCATTCCTCTCTTCTTTGGTACTTCCCCAATAAGTGTGTTATTCATTATAACGTCATTTACAGTCACTACACTTCCTTTTGTCTTCTTCGACTCGTCAACAATCTTTTTCTTCCTTCCTCTCTTCCTTGGAAATTCTTCAAGAAGTATGTTTTTCTTCCGGATAACCTCATTTACAGTCACTACACCTCCTTTTGTCTTCTTCGACTCAACAATATTTCTCTTCCTTCCTCTCTTCCTTGGAAATTCTTCAAGAAGTATGTTTCTCTTCCGGATAACCTCATTTACAGTCACAACACTTCCTTTTGTTTTCACCTCCCTCTTATCTTCACTTTTCATCTTCAACTCTTTAACTTCAACAATCTTTTTCTTCCTTCCTCTCTTCTTTGGTAATTCTTCAAAAAGTATGTTACTCTTCCGGATAACCTCATTTACAGCCACTACACTTTTTTTCGTCTTCGTCTTCCACTCATCTCCACTTTTCTCCTCCAATTGTTCAAGTTCAACGATCTTTTTTTTCCTTCCTCTCTTCTTCTTTGGTACTTCCCCACTTTCTTTTATCTTCTGTGTCCACTCGTCTTCAATTTTCTTCACGGGACTCGAATTTGCTTCCTTCGACCAACTCTGTATCATCTCTAAGCCTTCTTTGATCAGTTTCAAAGCTTGTTCCGGTTTAGCTAACTTAGCGTGTAAATCATTCTTCCGACTAGCCGGCTCTTTTTCTGTTATTTCTCGAACTTCTTTATTCACTTGCGAAATGACTTCACTAATAGTAGGCAAAACATCGGTATTGTAGATAACATCATGGATCTGATCTTCAAAAGAGTCCAATTCTTCGTCTTTAATATCAATACACTCTTCCTTTATAGTTTCAGGTAGGAAATAATCACTGGAAGAAGGACAGTAGATAACGTTTTTCTGATAATCCCTAACTTCATTAGTCAATTTTGCTACTGATCGTTTCAACATTTTAATACTCTTCTCATCAATCTTAATCAGAGTTTTGTAGAATGAATAACACGACGTTTTTCTTCGTTCTTTTCGTGTAAAACCCAAAAATTTCCCTTGATCATACTCCAACGGTACTTCTTCACACCGACTCACTAGATTCTCTTTCTTGCCACGATTGAGAATTTTATTAATGTCGACAGGTGTGACAGCACACGCGGGTTCAATTTCAAGGTCTTTAGTCATTCTTGTCACCGCAGGTTCAATTTCAAGGTGTTTAGTCAATCTTGGTACTTCTTCTGTTGGTACTGCAGGTTCCAGAGGTGTCTCCTCATCCACTTCAATCATTTGATTCGGATCGTTTGAAGCAACCAAGACCTCAGAACTATTTTTCACAGGATATAAAAGATAAATGATAGGTGGTTCCGGTCGAGGTTCATTTTCCTTTAGTTCGATGTTTGCAACAGCTGTCGCAGCCTCGACAATTTCTGCTAGAGTTTCAACAGGGTCAAATGTCTTCCTAGGCGGTTTACGTTTAGTTTGTGTCCGTGATAAGATTCTTGCTTTAAAATGAGTTTTTTCTCGTGTTTCACTTATCATTTGATGAGGTGATGCGTTATCCATCGGGTTTGAGACGGAAGCTTGCAAAGTAGTGATCGGCAAATTAGGGCTTAAGTTTATTTTCTTGACACTTTTCTTAACCAATGATGATGTTTTTATTGGTTTGACCAAATTATCAGAAGTGCAACCTTGTTTTAAAGGTGAATTAGGGATTAAGTTTATTTCCTTGGCCATTCTTTCAACCACCGGTGACATTTTTATTGGTGTATTATCTAAAGTCGAAGTAGTTAAATTCGTGGGCTTAATTTGGGTATTAACTGTATCTTGATTTATCTCCTTGACAGCTGGTGAGCTTTGTTTGACTTTATGCAGTAGTTGGGCAGGTCCAGGGTAAGTTTGGGGCAGTTTTAAAAAGGGCGGAGCATCCGTTGGATTATTACAATTTTTGGTATTTTTGTTTAATTCAGAAAAAAAATTAGAAAACCGTTGTTTCTTTTGTGGTTCTTCCATAAAAACATCGCCGTTATCGTTGCCTACAACGATTTCTCGGGCTGGTAATGGCACACCATCAGCTCTTTTTAAATACCGACTAGGCAACATTTCCTGCGAGCTTTGATGCGATCTTCGCCCTTTGTACGTTTTTACGAAAGGGGGGCCTGAATCTTCTTTAACAAACGGTAAATCTGGTGGTGAGACAAAATAAGAAACCTCCACACCTGTAGGACTTTTTGTACTTGGTGTCAAAAGTGTATTTTCCAGAATGCAAATCTTTTTATTTGCAGTATTACCAACCACAGTCTGCTGATTTGGGTTGTCTAAAACCACAGTCTGACTTTGGGGCTCTGCATCATCCGTTAAATCAATAAAGTCGCCGTGAAGCAAATTATTGATTGTGGTTTTTATTGGAGAATTGTTAATTGACAGGTTTTCCATTTCTTTACTAAACCTAAAAATGGAAATAATCATTTTTAAAACCATGAGTAGCTATTTTCTAACCTTAAAAGCAACAAACCGCTATTTTATAACCTTAAAAACAAGAAACGATCACAGTGCCATACAAATGTCGGTACAACAGAAATCTGTAAAAAACAAAAATCCAATTATTGAAGCAAAACGGAAGTTTTTTTTATCGAATTACCTCATTTCGAGACTCCCAAAAGTGGCAAATTAAAAATAGAAGCTTATTGAATTAGTGTTTGGGAATAAACCTAACAATTTTCTGCCAGAAATTGGAACCATTTTATTATTTCTGCATACCTACCTGAAAAAAATAATGTTGATTGAAAAAACACACTTGAGTAATTTACCATTCAATCTAATCCAAAAAAATCTAAAACCATGATTGTATTTTTAGGATAAAAACCATATATATAATACATATATGATAAAAACAAAGCTTAAGAGGTTATGTCATGTCATTTGTTCAGTTTTTTTGTGTTACAGTGTGGCCAACCTTTAGGAAATTCTGTTTTGTAAAAATATAAAAATATTCAGAATTTTAATTATTTTAATAAATTCGATTACATAAGCATCTGATTTGGGTACATTTTATTTATTTTGCGTGGATTTTATCTCCCGGTGGAAAGTGAGGTTATGTGATTTAAGCCACCTTGATGACCCTGATCGAGTACGTTTCCGCCCTTTCCGATAACCCCTATTTTGGGGCCGGTTTCGGCTTGTTCGGGCTGGGGGCCGGGGCGGCTCTCCTCCGCAAAGGTCTCCAAGGCTCGCTCATCCTCTTCCGACGCCACTACATGATCACTTTGGAGGTCCCCTGCCGCGACAAGTCCTACCAATGGCTCCTACAGTGGATGACCGAGAAGGGGGCCCGCTCGACGCAACATCTGAGCGTGGAGACCAGCTTTGAGCAAAAAGAAACGGGCCACGTGAAGACCAAATACGACTTTATTCCCAGTATAGGTACGCATTTTTTCCGGTATGTATGCCTTTGTGATTGAATTCGTCGTAAGGGGGCTGTCGGCAGGTATGGACCGACATGGATTCGCGTCGAGCGCACCCGGGAACAACACACGCTGGATTTGCACATGGGGGTCCCGTGGGAGACGGTCACGTTGACAGCCTTCGGGAGGGACAAGTCCATCTATTTTAACATTTTAGAAGAAGGTAAAGAGGCAAGGGGAACAGCCAGATTTTGGGGTGATTTGAGCCGGAGTTGAAATTCCCCGGAACGAAGAGTTTTGAGGGCGGGCTGAGGGTTTTCAGTTGTTCTGAAGTAAAAAAGTCGAGGATTTCAGGCCTGAACTTGGCGACTAAGCCCGTGTCAAGGCCTCTAAGAGCCGCCGCTTGCAACGACCGAATTTCTGTTTTTGATAACGCAAAAATTATCATTCCAATGTGAGTGATGACATTTTCCGACCAACTCTGCGGTATTCCATAAGCTTGAACCGCATGGTCATGGAAGATTCTTAACTGACTTTCGCTACACGTGAATAAATTTGAAAAGACGCTCGAATTGATTTTTTTGAACTCGGTTTGCGGGATTGTTGATAATTCCTCCTCCGGGAATCCGCATATGAGGCCCGAATATTTATTAATGAAGTCTGCGTTCGAGAGAATTTTTTTATTCCATTTCAATCGCAGCGAATTAGCAATTACCGCAATCTGGGGACGCGAAAAATCCCGAATTTGGCCTAAAATCTCAATAATTTTCCAATCACTTGTGTTTAACTTTGATAAATCACCTTCGGGGATTGCGGGCAATAGATAAACGACTTTCTCTAAGTCGTCACTTGTTAAATTTTCGGGGTCTTTGTCACCCTTAAACACGTCCCAAATAACAGCTTTCTGATATTTCGTCAATTTTAATTTACTCAAAACGTTCATTGACCTGAGAATTGCCTCTCGTGGGTTTTCGATTTTGTAAATCTGGAAGTTTTTTTTAATAGAGACTAATTAGGACCCTTTCCTCACCTCACTGACATCCCTGTTCAATAAAATCTCTAGCAAACCCCCATTCTGGACCCCAATGAGCCCCAAAACCGCACAAATGACAATCATCATGACCATAGAATATACTCAATATAGAAAATCAAGTAACACAGTTTTTCTGTCATTCGTTTCTGGCGCCATGTTTTGAACTAAAATTGGCGGCAAATTTAAATGCTTTCTTATAAATAAAATCGGTTAAATATGATCTGCGACAGATTAGAAAATTTGATGACAGGAAAACTGTATGTTCTTCATTTTCTATAATGAGTATATTCTATGGCTATACTTCTTGATCAACCCTGATCATGAAAATTCGTTTTTGGTTTGGTAGCTAGACAGATGGCGCTGCGGCAGCATGAAGGCAAAACCATCATGTACACAGCGATGGGTAGCGAATGGCGCCCCTTGGGGCACCCCCGACGCCGGCGCCCCATCTCCTCTGTAATTCTCGACGAAAACCTAGGTGAAAAAATCTTAAGCGACTGTAAAGAATTCATTTCCAACCCTTCATGGTACACTGAACGGGGAATCCCCTATCGGCGAGGTACGACATCACATGACCACAATTCGTCTTTTGATTGGTTAACATTCTAGGTTATTTGTTACACGGGCCGCCCGGTTGCGGCAAATCCTCGTATATTACGGCCCTGGCTGGCGAGTTGGGTTTCTCAATTTGTGTGTTAAACTTGTCGGAAAGGGGGCTGTCGGATGACCGACTGAATCACCTGTTGAGTGTGGCCCCCCAACAGAGCATCATCTTATTGGAGGACATCGACGCTGCTTTTATATCACGCGAGGACACGCCTCAGCAAAAATCCGCCTACGAGGGCCTCACGAGGGTCACCTTCAGTGGGCTTTTGAACTGTCTCGACGGGGTGGCCAGTACCGAAGCCCGGATTGTTTTTATGACAACTAATTATCTCGAACGGCTGGACCCGGCCCTGATTCGGCCCGGTCGCGTCGATATGAAAGAGTACATCGGTTGGTGTTCCCCCTACCAGGTCGAGCAAATGTTCCTTCGATTTTACAATGGCGAAGATGCCCGAAGACAAGCGACGGAATTCGCCGAAAAGGTGGCCGCGTTCGGAAAAAATGTCAGTCCGGCCCAGATTCAGGGATTTTTCATGTTTCACAAACAATCGCAACCCGAAGAGGTTATAAGAAATTGTAAATTAATTTGGGAATTGTAGTTTTAGACGTTTATTTTTTCGGTTTTTTTCCGGATCCACTTCCTTTCTTCCCTTTTCCTTTTTTGCGTTTGAAGGGCCCGAGCCCTTTGCGAAACATCACGCCGCGCCACCAGGCCTGGATTCGGGTCGCCGCCCTCGTCTGCCGCTGGAGCTCCTCGGCCTCTCTCTGCATCTGCAGTTTGTGGGCTTTGTATTTGTCCATCTCTTCTTGGCGCGAATTGTACTAAAAAAAATAGTACATCAAAATACTGGCTAATGCGAGCCGCATAGCGGCGAGTTGAGGAACAAACGACTGCGCTTTATTTAGGGAATTTTGCGTCATCTGCTGGTGACACGTAATAGTGTTACCCTAGTCATAAAAAATTCAACTTGAACTGCCATTTGTCATTCTTGTGATTCTCAGGATTTTTATTGAAAGCAATTTACCTCCAACGACATTGTCGCCAACATTGAAAACGTAAAATTCCCTAGGCTATTAACGCACCCAAACGAGGGCTTTAATAGCGTTATTTACCTCTTCCAGTAATTTTAAATAATTGTCTTTCTGCTGTTCCAAGTCAATTTTTTTCTTTTCGACTGCCTTTTCGAGTTCTTCCATATCCACGTCATATTTTTCCATCCATTTGGTGATTTCCTCCTGAAACTCGGAGAGAGACATTTCCAAAAAACTGAACATGTCCTCGTGAATGACAATTTCTTTTTCAATTTCTGCATTCATATTTTCGGCCATTTTGATTAGTTTTTGTTCTTGTCGATTTAGAATACTTGTATTTTGCTCTTGACGTGATTTCTGCCACTCTTTGAGGTAATTTAGTTTAACTCCACTTTCAATAATGTCGTCCTAAAATCTCAACGAGTAAAAATGCACATAAAACAATGAAAACCAACGTTTAATTGATCTTTAAAATTGCCCAACTCTTCAGTTACATCTTGCAGTTCTCTGTTGAGTTCTTTCTTCTCTAAATCGAGGTACGTTCTCAGTTTCTTCACTTCGTGAAGATTAAACATCTTCGAGGTGAGTAAAGTGTGTTCCTCTTGCCGTGTCAGATTATCCTCGTTCAAAATTTTGATAAAATCGTCAAAATAGAAGCTTTTTTGCAAGTCAATAATGACCGATTTGAGGACATTCTCAAGCCACGACAAGTCTTTCTGAAACTTCCTATAGTTGAGAAACTCCTCACTTGGGTGCAAAATGACCCCAATCTCGCGCTCCGCATTGTGGTACTTCTCGTCGAGTGGCACATATTCGAGATTCGTGGGCACTCGGGGCATTTTATTAATCGTTCGAAAAAAGGCGATTTTCTGGTAACACATTTGGAGCATGACTGTGGTCACGACGGCCAAAACCCGACTCAAACTCTTAATTTGGAAGTCCTCATCAGGGAAGTGGGTTTGGTGGCGGAGTCGTTCATTGACGTTGTCAATTTCGGGCTCCGAATGTTCGGAGGCTAAGTCCAAATCGAGGCTTTCTTCGCTTTCGTCGTCTTGGGTGAGGCCGAATTGGACTTGGCGGGGGTTGCTGTCTGAGCCGGAACTGGAGCCTGGAATTCGGGGGTGGAGGTCGTGTGGGGGCGAGGATGCACTTACCTTTACTGGAGCCTCCCATTTTGCGAAGGGGGTTCACATTGGAGGAATTTCTACAGCCCGGGCTGGTTTGGTCGCACTTTAGGATTGGAGGAGAAAGGAGGGAAGTAGGTACATACACGGGATTGTCACTGGGACGTTTGTTTGGTGGTTGGGAAGCAACAACAAAATCGATAATGATTCGAATGAATGTATCAAAAAAAAAATATACCGTTTTATTAAAAAATAATAGGACTCTCTTTATAATACATAATTTTACATCAAAATTATATTAATAATGATAAACAATAAAATATGTGTTTCTAGTAAAAAGAAATACATATAAATAAAAATACTATGTAGGTAGCGTGAGTCAATAAAAACGAGTCAATAAAAAGAGTATGTATTGGAGTATTGAGAACATTTTACGAACGTACACTTAAGTGCAAAAAAAACGCAAATTGTCAAAAACATAGTGTGGAAAAGGTTGTCGCCGAAAAAATTAGAAAACTATCCAAAGAAATATCGTATTTTGTGGTCTTGCCAGTGCAGTGTTATAGTCAGTGTTAAAAACGAAATGGAAAAATTTGATAGAAGATTGGAAGATCCCTGGCAATAATTATGAAATTGTGAATTATGACAAAGACAACGTCAAAAAACTGGCATTTATTAACAGGCCAAATTACATTATAAAAAAATTCAATTTGCGTTTTTTTTGCACTTAAGTGTACCTATGTCTTACATAGATGAAATTACAAAATATTTAACATTTGCTACAATGTTATCATGTTGACTTTTAGTTTGTTCTACTAAAAATTGATTTAGGTATTCAAAATTTCACCACGTCTTAATTTAAATTTATTATAACACATTAAGATTTCTTTACTTTATACTACTACCTTTTTTACATCATGTTGTATAAGTTAATAACTACTCGCTTTGTGACGAGCATCGCCGTCTCCATAGAAATAAGCCTTATTCTCGCCTGGGCATTTTTTGAGTTCAAGTGATTCCCGTTGGCGCTTTAATCTGGGGAAAATTTTTGACAAATCCAGTTTTTTAGCTTAAAGGATTCAATCTCATAATATCAATTCTCCCTGACGTATCTAATTTTGTTGTATCCTTCCTTCCCAGCATTTATTAATTGCGTTATTTTTCGTTAATAATTAAAAATTATTCAGTTTTTACTTAGTAACCCCCGTAACTAAGAAAAAATCGGAATCACTACTCCAATGCATTTTTTACGAAATACATTTGATTAAGAAGGCAGTGGTGACGAGTATCAATATGTTTAAAATGGTAACACAACACTGCTATACACAGTGTTATAATCATTATTACTATTACCAGATATGTGATTATGTTCGGGCTACTTATAATTTCTTCAAACCATGAAGCTTGTGATTTTTTATTTGGGACTTCTTGTTTCTGAATCTTTTCTCTCACAGAAGGTGTGACTTTATTTGGGTTCAGGGTTCCAACAGTAGTCATACAGCATGTGATCCTGTAAAAAAAATCTTCATTTATGGATGGTTTCAATAATGACGGATTTATCTTCACGTTACACGAAAAATGACGGAATTTGATTAAAATCAGTTTTAATTGGGTTGCAAAGAGAAATCGACTTTAAATGGCATCAATTTTTAGAAATTTTGTACGTACTAGTTAAGACGCCCTTTCTGTTTTCTGTTGTAAGAGATAACACATAACTAACACACAGCTAACTCATGGCAAAGTTAAAAATTAAATTTTACTTACACCAAAAAAGGTAACCACTGAGTAATCATCTTGTATTGTCGTTGTTTAACTATTTTTTGAAATAATTAAAATTGACTAATATATCTTTAAGCTCCGCCTGCGACAATGTTTTTTATTAGATTATGAGATTTTTCTCGAATTGACTCGAATCTACAATAGAGTTATCTCTTATCATCTGATTAACTATCCAAAACACAAATAACAACAAATTCCCTAGATTTGAAATTTGGAATTTTGTATGTATACCCCAGAGAAAAATTTCAAGTAAAATAAAATACCAGGAACATGAAAAAAATGTTTAAAAAACCTGTCAAAAAATTTTGACATATTTTTTGACATTTGACATTTTTTCATGTCTCTTTAATGATACTGATGATCTTGTATATGTTTTTTTTACAATTATTTAGTAAAGGTACAAAAATTTTGCCAATAAAAGCCACAAATAACATTGAACAGAGTTACAATTTAGGATACTGTTTCCTTGTTTCCTCTTGTAATAGCCTGTAGCAAAAAAACTTGGAAAATTATTTTTCCAACAGAAATAAATAGAGTCAAAGTGCAAAATTTAAACTCTCATAACTTCGAAATTTTTATACATAAAATTTGTTTAACATTTTTTCCATGTTCCTGGTATCTTACCTTATATGGCATTTTTCTCTGGGGCGCGAGTTCTGGCGCATCCTGTATATACCTTATATATACACATAATAGAGTGACGTTATAATGCTCAACTTACCGTGTAAGAACCGGTATAAAGTAGTATGAATAAATAGAAAATCCCTATTTGTTCATCAAAGACGAAAGTTAATAATTAAATATCAATTGTTGGCATGGGCGCCCGCAGAAATTATGGTCAGGGAGGGCAAAAAAAATAATAACAATTTTATTCGTCTGTTTTTATATCACTCAGTTCGTGATAAAAATGTAAATAGTAGTTTCTTATTTCGTTCATGAAAATTTAAGTTAGAACGAGTTTGTGAAACATCAAAAAAATCTTTTTTT